TCTCGCCTGGGGAAGTACAGCTATGGCACCACTGCAGGGAAGTGCGGACGCAGCTGGTGATGGGCTAGATGAAAACACGCCCAGCCCCGAAGAGAGGCAGCAGGCTCAGAAGATATTTGATAATAATGATGAGGAGTTGGCTGCTGGGAAATACACGGCTGCCTGGTTGGGAACGCCGGATAGAGCGATGCTTCGAAAGGCGTATATGGACCTCTTCGACTGGTCAGATATGAATATCCTCTCGTCATTGAGGAGTTTATGCACCAAAATTGCGTTGAAGGGCGAGGCACAACAAGTGGACAGAGTGCTGGATGCGTTCTCATGCAGATGGTGCGAATGTAATCCAAACCATGGATTCAAAGCAACCGGTATGTCTAACCCATTCGTTCTCTCGCAGACTGAGTTGTGTGTATGCCAGATGCTAATAATAATGCTGCAGATGTTGTTCATACTATTTCCTACTCCTTGCTACTTCTCAATACTGATCTTCATCTTGCCGATATTGACCAAAAGATGACCAAGCCCCAGTTTATCAAAAACACGATGCCCACCATTCAACGAGTTGTAATTGAAGCCGCTCCGGAAGCATTCAGTACAGCTCAGCCATCAAAACCTCAAACCAAGCAGATTGCTGAATCGGAGAAAACTGGCCATGCGAAGCCTTCCCCGGTACCTCCTCTGGAGAAGCAGCCTAGCCACTCACCCACGGCAGCTGAGAAGTCAGATGAACCACCGACTATCGATATCCCCATCATTGAGCATCCTAACCTACCACCTCCCCGTCTGTCAAGCCGTGCCTCGTTTCTCGATACAGGTCATGGCATGCAGTCCCTGGCTGGCCCGCTGGTCTCAACACCATTTAACGGGACGATGAAGGCATGGGAGGCTCAGATCGAGACAGTACTCAAGGACTACTATATCTCTATCCATAAACAGAAACTCCCTCTTAGAGGTGTCACTACGGGGAGTGATGAGCATATCTCTGCTCCTGGCGGGTTCCTTACGCTTACTCATAACATGCTCCGAAGAACTCCAAGTACGATCAGTCGAACTGGCGCAGGAGAGACGTACCGTGGACGAGGCGCTGAAAACCGTCTCAATGCGGCCCGATGGTCCTCAAAAGCAAGATCTCGCCCTCGTCTTTACCCACCATCTGCCATGGGTTCGAGCCGTACAAGCTTAGACGACCAGTCATTCGTCTGGTCGCCATCTGGTTCGAGCACTTGGAGTAAGAACTCTCTTGGAAAGACCTTGACCTCGATGTCGGTTGACTCTCTGGGATCCGAGTATCCTCGCGGTGACTACCAGCAATCCATTGGATTTGCAAACGCTTTGAGCCATGCTATCATCCGCGAGGATTCAACTCATTCCATTGCCGCTTCAGAAGACCCTGCACGAGTTGCAATGGTTCTTGAAGACGAGAGCCTCGAGCTTGCAGGTGCTCCTTGGGCAAAGGAAGGAAGTCTGAAGCACAAACACCATCTCGACTCGATCGACAAACGAGCCAAGGATAGGAATTGGAACGAGACCTTTGCCGTCATCCAAAGAGGCTGGATGCGTCTTTTCTCCTTTAATTCCAACAATAAATCCAGTCGCCTGAGGCCGAAGCAACGCCAGAACGGAGGAATAGTAGTCGGAGGCGGCAACTGGATGGAAAACGCAGACGAGACCTGGAAGTTCCTCCTCAGACATACCATTGCCAGCGCCCTTCCGGCTCCGGGTTACTCCAAGTCACGCCCTCACGTATGGGCTCTCAGCCTGCCCACTGGTGCTGTGCACTTATTCCAAGTCGGCACGGCAGACATCGTGAAGGAGTTTGTCTCGACGGCCAACTACTGGAGTGCCCGGCTGTCCAAGGGCCCTCTCTTCGGCGCTGTCAGCAACATCGAGTACGGCTGGAGTGACGCCGTCATCAACAACGCTGTCTCTAGCATCGACGACTCCAATCTCCCGAGCAGTGCTCCATCTTCCAGCGGCTCGGCTCATCTTCCCCGACCCAGTCTGCAGAGCTCCATCCGCAGCTCAATTGATCAACAAAGCGTCCGCCCTCGCCTGCCAGCCGACCGGATCATGCTCAGCGACTGGCGGCCGCCTCAGCAAAGCATGATGGCTTCCACCTCCTCCGAAGCGGAACAGCTGGAGACGCTCCGCAGCTACGTGAAGCATGTGGAGCAGGAACTCCAGCGCCACAACGAGCTACGTCCTGCTCTCATGCTTGCCTTCACGCCGAAACACGCAAACTACTCCAAGGCTCTGCATAACTGGGAACGCAAGTCTTCGTATCTGCTTCGAGAGATAGTCAAGTTCCGCACCTACATTGACAGCCTGGTGTGGGCAGAGACGATGAGGCAACGGATCTACCAGGCCGATGCAGCCAAGGGGAAAGTGCTGAACACTGCTAGTGAAGATCCTGTCGAGGCGTAGTCTTTGATTGTCTTCCTTGACCCTTTACTGTCCTCCCTCCCCTTTTGCTAAGCCACCTACACACCCACTGCGTGCCCCTAATTACACAATCATGACTATCCTAGCTCCTTTTTAATGCTTTCTAACGGCCGATCCACCAGCGTTCTCCAGTCCAAGCGACTCTGCTTTCCCTTCTTTACAGCCATCCCTTAAACAAGTCCTGGAATTGTCTTCTTGCCCTGTATATCTTATAATCCATCTTGTTTCTCAAGCCCTGTACATATATAATCTGCTTCACATAAGAACGAGTTTATGAGAGTTACCGTCGCCATCTGACTATCGCTGCTGCCGCCCGTCCAGCCAGCTTCCAAAGGTCCTCGTCCCTGAACTGATCCCTGTATAAACAAAAAAAAGGGCCGTCGTATCTTACTCGCACTATCAACACTAGCCGGCCCCTTGCATGATCCCGCGCTAGGCTCGACTTAGCAGGATTTGACATGCAAGCTCGAGACCGGAAAAAACAACAACACAAAACAACATCAACAGAAACTGCGCGCCCAACTAACCAACCACCCAGCAGCACCTCGGACCCGCCGTCGTATGCTGGGAGCGCCTCGAGGCTGCCTGCGCACGCTCTTCTAGAAGCTCTTCTGGCGCCTCGACTGGCCAACCGGGTCGCTGGCGATGCGCTGTCTCCAGTAGCTGGACGCAGACGCGAAGAAGCAAAGAAAACCCGCCCTGCAGCACAAAAACTTGATGCGAAGACGAGGAAGAAGCGAAAAGGAGAAACAAGCTGCTTCAGCCCTAGCAATCAGCAGGAGTTATCACTACGGCTAGCTGGAACTGCTCCCTGTCTCTCGTTTTCCTCCGATCCGCAGCGATGTCAGACGTTCCGCTGCCGCCTTCCTCTCCCCCGTCTGTTACCCCAGCGCCGCACCACGACGACGACGACGACGACGAGCAGCAGCAGCAGCAGCAGCAGCCGCAGGAGGATTACGACTCGAGCAGCTTGCTGCCGCCTCTGCCTTCCCACGATGGCGACGATGATGACCTGAACGAGGACAGTGTCCAGCACTATGCGAACGATTACGACCGTGACGACTCGAATCTGCCTCCCTCCGGCCTTGATGACCCTGACACCAGCCTGAACCGCACGCTGAATGAGGAACGCGAGATGCACAGGAAATTGATGGATATAGAGTCTAGCTTTATCCCGGAGCCCTCGACGCTGCATGTCGGGGGAACTGCTGCGGCCGGGAGAGACGATATGTATTTGGCTGGCACGGATGCACCAAGTACACCACAGAAGACGGGGGATATTGAAGGCCAGGACTCATTGATATCTCCAGAGATACCAAGGGATATGTATAAGACACCTGCGCCGGCCCGGACGGTGGATCCGGAGCCTTCAATGGTTGAACCGGGGAACCAGTCGCTGGAAGGGGACAGTTTGGTTGGAATTAATACTTCTTCCCTGGAGACAATATCAACACCCCCAACCACTGCCGCTGCCGCCAGAACTGTTTCACGAGTTATATCGGCCGCGAGCAGCCGGTCTGGAAGGTTCGGGGACTCTGTTGGTGAGGAGCAACAAGCACATGGCCATGGGCACAACTTTGGCGATGAGGGAGGATCACACACGGAGAGAGAAGTTGATATTGAGGCTACTCCACGCAAGCCTCGCACGCAGATTGTTAACCAGTCTCCGCCTCTCTCTCGGTCTTTACAGAGCGTCAACACGGATGACAACGATCTCAGTCAGACAGGTGGTTTCCGGGGAGCTGCAGATTCGATCGAGCTACAAAGGACGAGACCCAAGTTTCTAACTAACCGCCGGTCCTCATACCGCTTGTCCACGTCTTCAGTTGCTACGGCTAATACAGACGGCAGTGATGCTACAATGGGAATGGACTACGCCTTACAATCTGGCGGTGCACTTCCGTCACATGGTGGAAGAGCGTCACACGGCCATGAACAAAAAAGGGACCTGTCAAGGTCCATCAGTCTAGGGAGCATGGCGTCTGGCATCTCAAATCTTAGTGATGACCATCCTTATGAGAGAAGGATTTTTAGCGGAGTGTCTGAACTGAGTCTCCATACTCTGAACGAAGAGGAATCAGCCTCCCAAAGGCCAGTATCTCCGGGAACTACCGTCAAACAAGGTGACGAAACTGCTCCCATGACGCCAAAGGTGAAAACCACGGATCCATCCTCCCCTCCTGCAACTGTCTTGACGCAGATACAGAATCGGCAGCCTCCCAGTACTGTGAAAAAATATCAGGAAACAGCAGCACCGTCGCCTGATAAACGATCTGTAAGCCGGACACCAGGCTTTGGTCGAGGAAAGAATATGACATTGAAGGAACAGAGTAGCACCATCGATCGACTCTCAAAGGAGAATTTTGATCTCAAGATGCGTATCCATTTTCTTAACCAGGCGTTGAATAAACGGTCAGAAGATGGCATCAAAGAGATGATTTCTGAGAACGTCGAGCTGAAGTCCGATAAAATTAAAGCCCAAAAGGACAACCAGGCTTTGAGAAGGACAATTCGCGAGCTTGAAAGACAACTCAAGGAAAAAGCTGACCTTGCCGATGAGAACAAAGATGAACAGGCATCTGAGGCTGGGAAGAGAACTATCGACGAAGAGGAATTCCTATATCTGCGTGAACGACTCGAAACATATGAAGTTGAGATTGAAAGACTCAGGGCTGAGAATATCACCCGAGAGAGCGAGAAGAGAAAGCTGGCTGAGATGGTGAAGGCTCTGGGAGATGGCAGAAGCGGTATATCGGACTCTGGGGCTCGGGAGGAACGGGTAGGTCTCATTTTTCTTCTTTATTTTTCAATGAAGTCATTTATATCCGTATCTTTGTTCCAATGCTTACTTGCATATCCAATAGGACATGTGGAAGGATATACTAGAAGCCGAAACTGCGGCTCGTGAACAAAGCGAAGAAGAGAATAAACGCCTTCGCAATCAGATCCTTCAATTGGAGAATGACATATCTTCTCATGAGGCTCGTTACCGCAAAGGACACCAAACCTTCTCTCAAGTGGGCTCTGACTATGAAAGCTCTCGTAGCTATGCAACCTCTAACCCAACTAGGGAGGACTTTGAGCTGCTGAGGCAGGAAAACAATGCACTTCGTCGAGAAGTGACTGCTCAGACCTCGATGCTAACGTCTAGAAATCGCGAGAAGGAAAAGCTCTACCAGGAAATTGAGGATTTGAAGCTTGATCGACGCAATGAAGGTCGCTCCATCGCTGGCGATAGCATCTTCGACCGTTCTGCTTCAAGAGCACAATCCAGAGCCATGTCACAGGCAAGTGACAACGACCGTGACACACTGGAAAATAGGAACGGCGAACTTCGGGACCAGGTGTCAGCTTTGAAATTGGACAATCAGGGCCTTCGTAGTCAATTGGACGAATACGCAAATGAGCTAAGCTCCGTGGAACGTGAATATCAGGCAGAACTAGACCGCGTAAGCCAGGAGTTACGAGACCTTCAAGCCCAGCGTGACCAGGCCCTCCAAGCGATTGAAGAGCGAGAGGCGGAATTGCAAGAACTCAAGGCAGCAGCCCAAGAGGAGCTTGATATCTTGGGAGAAGAGCTTGACCTTAAACATGAAGACTGCCAGCGCTTGGAGGCCGAAGTTCGAAACCAGCAGGAGAATTTGGATGCTCTTCAGGCGGAGGTCAGATCCGCTAATGAAGGTATTTCCCGGCTTGAAGAAGACGCACAGAGTAATCTACTCAAGTACAAGGCCGTACAACAAGAGCTGGATTATGTTAACCAAGAGATTGACTCTATGGAAAGGAACCTGGTTGAAGCCAATAACAAGGTCCAACGATTGACAGTTCAGCAAGAATCCAGTCAGAACGAAATCGCCTTTTTGCGAGAAGAACAAGACGGTGATAAGATCAAAATTGGCGACTTGGAGTCTGAACTGAGATTCGTCCAAACCAGCCTACAGAGCGAGAAGGAGAAGACAAGCGAGCTTGACAGACAACTTGCTGATGAGCGATACCAACATGAGATGGTAAGCAGCAAAGAGAAGCAAGAAGTGCAGCGCATCATAGACGATCTCAATCGTGAGTCCACGGCATCGAAGGAAGAAATCCGCAAACTGAAGAAGAACCTATCTTCTCGTGAAGTTGAAGCCACAATGTGGAAAGATCGCTTGATGGAGCTGGAGAACAGCCTACGTGAAGCTCTTGGCGACCTTAATGGCACCCGTTCAAGTCTTCTTACGTCAATTACAAAACTGCAGAAAGAACTAGAGTCTACTTCTCTCGAGCTGGAAAGTGTTCGTGCCAGTCTAGACGAAAAAGAGGCTCTCCTTCGAAATCGCGATGCACTCCTTGAGAGCCATGGGCTTGAGACCCAAAAATTGGCTGACCTCCTAGAGCGTGAAAGACAAGCCCGTCGTGCCGATAAGCATTCATTTGAACAGTCCCTCAAATCTCATCAACAGGCTTCGCGAACTATTGTTCAGAACAATTCTCGAATCACGGACTTGGAGAGTGCACGGAATCAAGACCGGAAACGGTTTAATCACCTTGAACAACAGTACAAGGACCAGTTGAACGAACGGAATGTGATGTTCCTTACCTTGTGGAAACGATTATCTGCAATGTGCGGGCCTGACTGGTCACATTCGAACAGCCTTATCAACGGCAATCTCCCTAGTCAGGAGGTCATTGGAAATATGCTGTTCTGGCCTGGGTTCAGCAAGAATTTGCTCCTGGCAGTGAAGACGGTGGAAAACTCAATAAATGGATTCAAGTCTCGTGTTAGAACAGTGGAGCGGAACTTGATGAAAGAGTACCAGACCCTGGAAAACAACATGAATGCTCGAATTAAGAAACTGGATCGTTTGGAAGAAATTGTTCGACAGATGCAGAGCAACCCTAGACGGTCAAACTACACTCCTCCCAATACAAATGCCGAAATAGCAAAGCTCAAGGGAGAGAATAGGCTACTCAAAGCCGAGCTCAACCTTCTACAATCTCACTCCCGAGCCAAGGTTGCTGACGATAGCTCTGCGCGAGGGCAGCCGTCAAGAATGGCGAGCTCAAGATCAGTTGGGTCATCTCTTGCGAGATTCAGTACAGGGTCAGAACAAGGCACCCCAACCAACACACGATCGGGAAGAAGCAACAGTTCAGTCTCTCGCGGCTCTTCAAATGTTGCTCAGCCCTCTCCCTTTTCCTCAAGCACCACACTTGCAAATAACCAAGGCGGCTCGGAAGTTTCCACTCACCACCACGGATCCGGGCCTAGTCATGGAGGATATCCTCTATCTCCCAAGAGCGAGGCCAATCAGGATAGATGGATACAACGTCTGCGAGATCTAGAACGACGACTGAAGGCGGAGCGAGAAGCACGACTGTTGGACCGCTCTGGAGCCCGAGAGAGGCTAGCAGAACGTAATGCAGAGAATGAGAAACTCCGTGCAGCTCTAGAAAGGGAGCGAATGAATCGAGTTGCCAGTTCTTTTGGGACTGACGGTGGAGGTGATGAACCCGATCGAAACCCACGTACACCGGAGAGAGCTCGACGCCATGACAACAACAGTCGAGATAGGGGCAATCGAAACAAGGGGAGAGCCGATAGCAGATCAAGTGGAACAGACGTTGTAGTAATTGACCATGGATATGAGCCCGATTCTCGTGGGCACAGCGAAGGTCGAAGCACCCGCTCAGGCAGTTATGACGGTGAAGGCGATGATGATGACGACGGTACGGGTACAGATGATGACGGTGGTTTATGCGTTGAAGTCGTGGTGTAATGATTATGTCCTTTTGGTATCCTCTTTTTTGGCGTTATTGTTCTGGCTTACTCTTGGCTCTTGGATGCCTATTTCTTCTCTCTTATTACCCGTTTTATTTACACGACATGCCCTTATATTATATCTTGGTGTCTCACGTTTAGCATGTTAATGATAATTGGCGTCCTTTTCTTTGGCGTACACGGTTTAGAGTATAGTGAATATCATGATGCACTTTCATTCATGTGTATATTTCTAATGGCCATTCCCATATCCAAGTGGGTAGAAGCAGTTTCTATCTCAGCGATACCTTCAAGGAGAAGTCAACAATTCCAACACCCTGATGGATGCTGCTTGTAGACAGAATATCCACGTCATCACACACGAATTTTGCAGCGTTGGTCTCGTTCAACCCGCCGCTGACTTCCACGAGGAAACTTCCGCGTGGTTTGCCCTTCGCGTCCCACTCGTCCTTCAGCTGCTTTGCCGCAGCCCGCACTCCGTCAGCAGTAAAATTATCCAGCATGATAACATCAGCACCTGCACTGATGGCAGCATTTGCCTCCTCGATGCTGCGACATTCTACCTCAATCTTGGTAGAAAAGCCGGCAGTTGCACGAGCAGCCTGGACTGCAGAGGGTATAGCTTTGGCAATAGTGCTTACATCTGCACTGGGGGCTTCACTTGCCCCTGCGTTGGTCTGGGTCTTGTTATGACACGCCCATACGTGATTATCCTTTAACATAGTCATGGAGCTGAGATCGTGGCGGTGAGGATCAGCACCGCCAACGAGAATTCCATACTTCTCAACGATACGGAATCCTGGCGTTGTTTTGCGGGTGCCTGCCAATGTACCTTTCCAGCCCTGGTCACGAAGGATAGTAAGCAAAGCTGCAGTCCTGTCATTATTTGTTAGAATATATTAGATGAAAGGAAATCCGTGAAGATGTAATCACTTTGTTGCAATTCCCGAGCATCGAGCTAGAATGTTCAAGGCCACTCGTTCACCGAGGAGGAGTTTTCTCATCGGCCCTCGCACTATGGCACAAACGGTGACTGGCTCAATGCGTTCACCTTCCTTGACGTTCCAGTCAACTCTATGCATCGTATTAGCAGTATCCGGTAACATTCTTGGGGCGTTGTATATCAAGTCTAAACAGGCATAGTAACCTACGTGCACCCTAGCTGAGCAAATACTTCATTCACAAAGGGAACGCCAGCCACGATTCCCTAGTATACCGTAAGGGTTATAATTAGCCAACTTCTTGACTTCAGTATCTTAAATATAACATTCATAAAATAGTACTAGGACAAAAGAAGTACGAGTAACAATAGAGACAAGCTGCCAATTACTGAAGATCATAGATCTACACCAGTGGCCCCCGCATGCATGGTACTATCAAAGCAAGAACAGCAGCGCGCATTAGCATACCTTGCTTTTCCCCAGGAGCCTTGCTTCTCCCTCAGCTTCACCAACGACGAAGCCTCCATAGTCAAAGCTGGGACAGTCCTCCTCAAGCCACGTTGATATGATACGCTTATAGTTAAGGGGCAGCAAATGGCTTAGGTCTCCATGTGCGGCTGCCATGACTAGCTGCAGCAGTGATTGTCCACGGTAATGTCACTAAAAACGTATCCAGTCTATGACCCGGATAGCCGCGCCTCCACCAGAGGATCAATCAGAGATGCAAAAGTAATTGGTCGAATGTAACAAACAAATATCAAATCAATTTGTCTCTTGGGATCGTTCAACTTTCGGCTTTTGTTTTTTCGGCTTTCTTTTTGGCGGATGAGGTGATATTCACGTGATGTCGGCGCGGAGGGAAAGAAACTCCGACATTCCGGTATCATGTGATTGGTATGAAATCTTTAATGCGAAAGTCAAAAAAAAAAAGTCAAAAAAGGAAACTTCGAGAGCAACTTTCGATTTCGATATCAAACATCGACATCAAACGTCAAACATCATCATGCATGGGAAGCCCGTTCTTAATATCCACTTTCAGGGCGTGGGCTAAGCAAACGGCATTGCTGGCCGCATAGGGATAGCGGCATGTGTTTTGCATCCATTCTTGCTCCGTAACTAACAGGCATGGGTCTCAGGGTGGAATCAAGCCCACTTCACCCATTATTAATTGTATACGCTCTGGGCATAGTTCACGTTCTGTTCTATGGAATACCTTTGATCCTTCTGGAACTCTGGCTGGCGGTGTCAGCTCGGGCCCGAGAGCCGCAAGGGCACGGGAAAGCGGCTATCAAAGTTTGTCCGGAATAGCAAAAGTCAATACCCGAGGACCTGCGTCTCGACATTATTGTTTCAAGTGTTCCTGATGAGAGAGAGATTGGTCCTTGAGAGATATGGAGAATTTTTGGGCAATTCGGAGAATCCGAAGATATGCTTAATGAGCACGCTGCTGGATAGCAAGCACGGCTAGGCCCACCACCTCGGTCCAATTCTAACCAGCTGCTCGGAGGGCAATTGTACATACACTCCGTACGTCTATGCACAATGTACACGAGAGAAACTATAAATGAGAATGGACTTGACTAGGAAGCCTAATAGGATTTCCTTGCAGGGCAGAAAGAAGGGATCCTCAGCCCAGAATGGTTGGACAATACGCCTTTCGCTGGGCGCGGCTGAGGATGTATGTGTCCATGCACTTTATATGTGTGAATAAATCAAGTCGCCGAGGACTTGGGAGTTTTGACAGTTAAACAACAGTAAGGTTGGGAAGATAGCCTTGCCATGTGTCAAGTCCTTAAAGGGAGTATATTATGAAGTCATCTTTCTCGCCCTCAGCGGGGATTTGGATGGCTTTCGTATTCGGGAACAGACCAAATCAAAGATCTATACGCCTATACGATGCGAGTCATCGTACTCCGTACTCTCCCCCAATCGGGTCGTGTCTGTGCATCTCATCCTATCGGAGGAGTTTGCTCCCAGCGGGTGGAAGTTTGGAGCTTCATGACTCCGTTCGCAATAAAGTACATCCTGAGTAATTGTGCAACTGCCGAAAAATTACGGGTGTATGGTAAGTGACGCATACTCTAATCCTCTGTATTATTGTATTTGCAAAAATGGACTGAGTGTAATCCAGTTACCAGAGATACATGAATGCATAAAAATGGCCTAATTGTGCACAGCTTGGTCGAATTTAGAATCTCCACCCTTCATGACGGAGTTAAGAGGCTCGAATCGGTGTTTTATTTAAACCGAGAAAACGAGTGAGTTAATCTTATCTCTTAGGTAACCAGGGATGTTGACATACAAAAGAAAAACGAACGAAGAGGTGGGTGATGGGTGCATTAATCAAGCTTGATAGGTAGTAAGTCCAGCAACCAGCAAAGAAAGGGTACATAACCAGCAATGTACCCATGCGATGCGATTATCGGGAGATATAACTAGAGGTGGATAAAAGAATAGGAGAAGGGAAGAACATGTGGGTTATGCAAAGAGTTATGAACGGAGTAACTTCTTTTGTGCGCGGTAGACACCCGTCTACTGCTTCTTGGTTGCATAGATACCTATGCCATTCCCCTCCGAGTCCTGAAGATGCATGACTTGGCCGTGATCCCCTTCTGGAAGAACATCACTGCACTTCTTCCCCCCGTTTGCAATGATTTTCTATATGCATGTCAGAGCGCTCACCCCTGGTCGACAAGGAAAAGCGGATGGGAAGACAACTTCCCCCCACACTAGCGCATGAATGGCAGCTTGGTTCACTCACCTCCATCGTCTTCTCGAGGTCCTCTACATAGAGGTACAACTTGACGGTTTTCGGGCCGGTGGTGTGCTCTCCGGGCTTGATCTTGGAGAGGTTACCACCCATACCCTTGAGCCCTTTCTCGGGGAATGAGAACATCGCGACGTCTTCAGTGCGTCCAGGGCCATCCTTGATGAACTGCCAGTTGAACACGGTTGAGTAGAACTTCTCAGCTGCGCCAGACAGATCATATTAGCAATCAGTTAGCAATCAATCAGCGATTGGCAGTGCCACCACATTCCATGTTTCAACATTAGAACGGGTATGCACTCGGAGGGAAGCATATCAAGGGAAGGGAGCATATCAAGGAGTGAGTTGGGAGAGCATACCACGAGCCAGGTCAGTGGCGAAGATCTCAACCCAACATGGGGTTCCTTCACTTGGGGGTGTCCAGGTGTCACACATAATGGCTGAGGAGGAAAATAGGAGAACTTGGGCAATTTCCAAAGGGATTTTTGATCTTGACAACCTGGAGAAATAAGCTAGGCAGGTCCTGAGGAGAAAGGTCGAGGTTTATATGCCTTTTCCATCTCCCTATCCTCATGTCCTCCTCCTATTCTCCATGCTCTCAGGTGCCCTTTTCTGTGCCGTTCGCAATCGAACCATAAACCACATCCATCCCTGCCGTCGAACCAGGCAACCAAGGCTTCCCAATGGCTCACCTCAAGCCCATCCCTGGCAACACCTTGTCTAAGCCTATTATACCCTCTCTTTCATCTCTCTCTGACCCCGATTCTTTTGCTGATAGTCATTAAATCTCTCACGTGATGACGTGTGTTGTTCGTGTTTCGCACAATTTAGCCGAATGCGGCTAAATTGGACTCGCGTCGCGTCGCCAAACAAGAAAAAACACGAAGTTTTGGCGTTTTCATTGATAAAAGAGACGAAGAAGATGGAGAAAATGGACACTCTCGGTCTCTCGTTTTGACGGAGTCTCTTTGCGGGATGAGTCACATCGTGGCCCGGACGGAGGAGAGGCGGATGCTGCCTGGCCGACGCAGAGCAGGGTCAAGTCCGTTTGCTTTGGAAGCGGTTCGATGTGAAACAAGACAGGGGGCAAAGGCAAAAGAAACAAAACGGGACAAGGATCTCAGGAGGCGGATGTTGCATGGCTGCGAGCAGATGAGACCCTCCTTGGTATCAATACTTCAGGTATCGATAATCTCTCCTCATGCTCATCAGGATGCTCGCTGCGCAACGGTCACAGATATGGAGGACGGAGATCGGCTCCCTGTATATTCGAGGACAATACTGTTTCTTGCCGCAGGTCTTCGTCCGCACGAAGCTGGCGTGGCCGCAGGTGAACTGGTTGTAGAGCTGGCGGCACATCTCTCGAGCTGTTCTACCTGGCTGCTGCGGCGTATATGTCTCGGCTGGAGGTGCAGGTTGTCCCTTTTGATCAAATGAGAATAGGTAGGAGGTTGAAAAATGAAGATACGAAGTGACCAAAGTGAAATATCTGCACGGTACCTTGCAAATATATACAGCACTCGAATCCATTCACTGAAGATGTTGAAAGTGAGAGACAGAGAGAGAAAAGGAGGACAATGAGCTGGTCTGTTCATTGATAGGAGAAAGTACGTAGCCACTTTGATCTATTGTCTAGCACCTTCAGAAGCACGCAGACTTCTTATATTCCATTGTAAAAGGCCATTATAGAAGAAGATCCAAGGCTCAAAGAGTGTATTCGATGCAGTCGACAGCAATAGGGAGCTTACCATGGCGGTGTTTCAATTGACAATCTTCATTGACGAGGCCACAAAGACCAACAGCAAATCATGCATCTCCAGCAACACAGAGAGGCATATATATAAAAGAAGAGACACTGGGAACGAGTAGAGAAGCTCCTGAAACCGACAACCATACTCTTAATTCTCCCACTGATCCTTTTCCTTCTGTATCTCACCCTTTCCAGGAGCGATATAGCGTCCTCGCACCCCAGGTCTGCCCCTTTTTCAGCAGACACATCTTCTGCCACTCTGGGACATTGGGTGCGTTTATATATCGACTGGGCTCAATGCAGAATCCCGATCGAGGGCCTCGGGCTGGGTACTTGCCTACGGGTGGGACGTCGACGTGTTGGCCGGTGTAGAACTGGAATGCTGGCTCAGTGCTGAGGACTTCCAGGTGCATCTTTGACTCCTGGTGTTTGAAGGATGCCAGGAGCTTGAGATCTCTAGGCCGGGTGTCTAATGGGACATCCTGGGGATTGGTATCGACTATGAAGCAGCTATCAAAGTCAGGGCACTTGTCATCAATCACGAAGGGTTCCGTGACTCTCAGTGGGCCGTAGGACTCGATCGTTCCCAAAGGAATGCCCGTCGAGTCAGTCGGCAGATATTTATCAGTCGACAGCACTGCTTCAGTGCCGTTGATTGTTCGGTCGTCGCTCAGGTTGAAGTAGCTACATCTCGTCAGTAAAGCTATAGTAGCCGGAGAATGGCAGTGAAGTTGACCGACCTGTGGTTTGTGACCCCCACGACCGTCTCCTCGCACTCCGAGCCTATGAACTCGACCTCGTATTCAATCTCCAGCTCTGTTTTCCCGTCCTGCTGTCCAGCAATATACCAGACTCGCAGCTCAACGGTGCCAGGATATCCCTCTTCACCGTGCTTGCTGGTGTACCTAAACTCGACAGATTCACGGCCCTTTCTATGTACAGGCTTTGGACCATCGAAAACTCGAGAATTCCATCCTTCTTTGCCTCCATGCAGAGAGTTGGGCCCTTCTTTGGAAGTTATAACGTACGTTTTATCGTTCAGGTTCTTTACAACGCTGTCCTTGAGCCTGTTGGTCGTGCGGCCGATGGTGCTGCCAAAGTACGGCGCATTGTACTTCCTGTATGCCTCTTCATCAGGCAGAGCAAGCACGATATTCTTGCCAGCAACTCGGAACTCCTGGATGATGGCTCCAAGCGGAAGAAAGGCGAAGTGTGTATCTTGCTGCTGGGCCATGGTATACTGATCAGTCACCGTTTGCTCCGTTCAATCAGCAAATGTCAAGCACTACCACTTTGCCTCGAATCAACCATCAGCCAATCTGAGACTTTCAGGGTCTCTTTCTCTCTTCTTCGCCAAAGCGATTCTGTCCTCCTCATCGCCGTCTAACATCGTCGTCCGTAAGATCCTTGGACAGGGCGGCTATGACAGAGCAAGCCACTGACGTCACTGGAGGCAACCAGCAAAAAGCGTCCCACAGAAACCCATCACAACTCACGATGCCGGAGGTTGCAGGGCCAGGCAGACTTTCACTCAGTCTATATGTCTGTGTGTCAGTTTCTCGTGCATAGATAAATTCCTGTGCCGTGTCGATAGTGCAATACAAGTCCGAATGGCTGGTTATATATAGTTAGCTGGCTAACAGCCAACAGGCAAGCAATCTCCCGAACAGACGGACGGGGAACACCCTAGACTGGCTGGCCCCAGTCGATACATGTTCGAAAATGCCACTTATCCCTGCTCCGACATTAGAGACATCCATTTACAGTGTGCAGATGCATGCATGTATTGCTTGTCTCGTAACGGTCACAGCGATGCACAAAAGGGATGCCAGTAAGCCGTCCCGATGAAGCCCACAACACATGGCAGTGAGTCTTGAGATGGCAGAGACCCACGATCGGACATGAATTGGCCAGGAAGGTTGACCTCGTTGCAACGAGAATCGCCGTCTCTCGATGTGTGTGGATATGCATGTGGATGCGCGAAGAGAATCATTCGTTCACTGCGCATTAACTGCATAACTAATTTATCCACGGATGTGCCAGCTCGTTCCGCAGACGAGACCGGGGTTCGGAGCGGAATCTTCGTACGAGGGTGAAAAATGCCTGGTATTTCGCTGGTTCTTGTACAATGATTTGCGATGCCCCTATTAGCCGCGGCTGAGGACATGCTAGGGCTGGATTATTTGAGAGAGCAGCCGAGAACGAGCAAGAGCTTGGTACTTCCCAGCTGGATATAGCTACAGTGGCTTTGGACAAAACGGGGTTAACTGGTTAAGCCAATGCATACAAACCCGAATAAGTCGTATCCGAACGGCCGATCACTACTACTTATATGCAAAGATGCCTTCTTCCAAGTCTTCTAGAGATGAATATTACAGGATCTCCGAAGGTCAATTGCAACGTCAGCAAGCACTTAGAGGTCGATATAGCTATCCAGCATTGAGTACCAATTTTGCTTCCTTTGCTTTTTCTAGCCTCATTTTGCTTTTTCCTTCTTGCCCTAGCTACGTAGCTTGGAACTTTCAAGCTCTTATTTGAAGGAGAGGAAAAGGCGAACAGAAATCAGGGATCTCGTTGATCGTCATCAAAAGTCTAGAATGATTGAATGAGAGGGGAGAACCTGGTAATCATCCAGCGTTTGCCACCAGCGCCTGCTAAACGTGAATATACAACCAAGGGGAAAGAAAATATTAACGCCAGCAAATGCACATAAGAAGAAAACTATTCATGCCCTATCCTTTCCTTCAAAACGTAGTATGAGAGACATCCAAAGCGGGAATAATAATAGTATATCCCCGGGGAATATTAAAGACAAAGTAAAGAGATTCGTGGTCTATACGGTAAGGTCATCAGGATTAGACAAGGGCAGAACTCGTCAGGTCCGGAAACATGTTACTTTAGATCTGGTTAGCGTGAATATTATATATAATTCAGGGAACTTGGACATACTGAGATTGAATTGATTCCATTTGGTCAAATGTCAGCAGAGCATCAGCAAATCCCAGTTGGAGATTCTGTGGTGAGACAATGCCTTCACTCCGTGCAGTAGCCAAGTCCGAAAAGAGTGCTGCGGGATTGAATGCCGTTTGTTGGTCCTGCTGCTGTTGCTGTTGCTGGGCATAATATAGCTGTTGTAAGGATGCAGCCAGTTGACTATGGCCCTGATGGGGCTCTGAAGTGGAGAGAGCCTGAGGGAAGCTGTCGATGACAAAGGTGTCTTCTAGCACCGGGCTTGGGAGACTCGATGGGGAGGATGATTCGGTCGCATGAGAAGGAGGGGATGTCCCCTCAGAAGTCGAATCCATTGATTCTCCCCTACCCTGTTCCTCTTCAAGGTCCATTTTCTCTGGTTGATCTAACAGACCCATCGTATCTGTCTGTTCGGCAAGCTCCATTCGCCCGGGACGCTGGGCCACTTGCGCCCGTTCTGGACTTTTGTGTAGCAACTGAGCCTGCATCGTCTCCAAATCTTCTTCGAATCTCGGCAGCCCGGCATTGGCTGGCCCATCTGCTACATTCAACGCCCCCAGTCGCTCCAGTATGTCATGTGTCAACGGATGACCATTATGGGAGTTATTTAATGGTTGGCCAGGCCACTTATTCCCCTTAATCAACAAGTTATACATTTCTTGGATTCCAAAAACCAGCGAGGTTTGCTGATGTTCCAGCAATTCAACATATCTATAGCATAATGATCAATATAGGGGATTGATGCCCAGTAACGGAGAAGGTGACTTACCCTTTGGGATAAGTTTTGTCATGTGTTCTCTTGCGCTCTCCATACACACAGACAACATTATCAGCACTGCATCGGGCGCAGGGTAAATCTCCATCGCACTACGTAAAATGGAAAAGGGGTCCGTCGGTTAGCATATGGCCCTAACGTGGCAAATCGTGTGTTTCTTTCCGCTATGACTGTGTGCATACCTTTGATTTTTTAAGTCGACATCTATCACAGGCCTTGCCGACCCTTTTGCGAATGCCGTTGCTGTCGTTAGAGTCTGACAGGCTTGATATCCGTGGTGATGACGACGAAGACATGGCTCGCGAGCTAGGCATGGCACCAATAAAAGTAACTTCGCTTACTGTGCCTCTTTGTATTCCAATGCTCGGGGGTATTTGAGGGAGCAAGGGAACGCCCAGAAAGGACCCGTTCCTCGCTGCCTTTGCTTGTTCAGGTTATGTTGACCCTTTATTTGACGGATGGGGTATCTCCAGGCGCTTGGTTGGTTGTGTCGTGAGTGATACCGAAAAAATGCTATGGATGTTGGAACCTCTTTCGTTTGCGCTTTTCAATAACGATACCTCAGGCACTGGATGAAATGGTGCGGAAGGGGGAGGGAAAGAATAATTAAGCAATAAGTCGTTAAAATTAGCCGACTCTTTGGTAAGCAGTGAGCCTGGTAGAGTTGTATATAGTAGCTTAGCGAGCTTAATTGAACAGCCTTTCTGGTGACCGTAATGATCGCGACGGTATAAGTGTGACCAAGTAATTGAGAGTAATAGCAACGAGCAATGACCTTCGTAGATGGTGACGCTCAAGTGTCACCCTTTTTTCTTGTTCTCTAGCTCTGAGGTTAAGATCGACTCGAAGTATCACAAGAGAGAGAAAGAGGGAGAAAGCTGTGGAAAATATGGAGAGTGAATGCTTTAATATACTGTCTTCTTCCAGCTAGGGGGGAAGAAGGAAGAAATATGAAAGAGAAAGGGCAGTGATGTTTATCTTATACGACATTGCTCATCTCAAGGAACCCTGAAAGTTAGTTCGGCTGGCAGGAGTACATATATAGTACATCGCAGTACTCCAACGCGGCGCCGATTGCTCATAAGCAAGTGATACATAGCCAAAAGTCCACGGAGTCGGTCTCCGTACTAGACTGGGCTGGGGTGGGTGTGTGGGCTGGAGGAATGGAGGCTGGACGACAGCTGGGCTCCCTTTCTTCCACCCCCAAAGTGTCTTTTTTGCGAAATTCCATGCAAAAATGAGTGACAAGCCAACATGAGGTAAAAAGAAAAAGGAAAACTAAAAATAAGACAGTTCCATGGTCGAGGGAGTGCGAGCATGCAATTATGTCGCTTTACTCGCCGAGCCGTTGATGTCATTCCCAGAACTATTGTTCTTGTTTATCCTTGGCCGAAGGGCCTCGAGCTGGTTATGTCCCTGGATCCTGGGATAATAGCTGGTCGGTCCTGTTATGTTGGAAAGTATTCGTTTGCATACCTGCAATGACATTTGACGTACAATTTGCTATGCATAAACACGCCTGTCTGCATCTCGCATGGAATGTAACTATCCTGGAGCAAACTTCGGCCTTTTTTTTTTTTTTGTCTAGGCTTGACAGCTCGTGACGATGGAACCCAGGAATATAAAAAGGCTCCATATTGCCGTGCGAGTAACTCATGGCCCTGGTTAGTCTTTTTGAATGTGTCACTGCCGTCATTCCGGTTTCTTTTCTCGTCTTTTCTGGCTCTGGCTCTCACTGTGTCTGTTACCTCTCCTCGTCCGCGGAAGGAGGAACATTGCTGCCGAGTCGGGCCCGGAACGAACGAAGCAAGGAGATCATCGACCGACCTCTCTTTAGCGCAGCCTCTATTTTGCAAACTGACTAATCCAAGTGTATTAGTTATGCAGAGCTCTTGATTCCAAATTATATTGGTGAAAAGAACCTGAGGTGCCGTATCCGAGACGTATCAGGTTGTAAGCCAAATTACCGGACTTTGCGACTATCCATCCCGGACGAAGTTGATCTTGCTTTTTTTCTTAACATTTTTCTTATGCTTATTTGGTGAATCGCAGCGCTTTTGCCGCATGGTTGACAAATTCGTCCGCCATGAATGACTTTGCTCCTTCATCGTCCTCTTTTGCCTTTTTTCATTTTAATTTTCTCTCTAAGCATGTTTTGCATTTTTTTCTGGAACCAGGGCGCAAACGCAGCAGCGTATTCGCGAGGCCAAGAGCCCGAGTCTTCCCCCTTCTTTGCTGGAGGATAGGCAGCAAGATTCCGTTCATTCGTCTCCTGGCTATATTTTATTGATTTGCATCGCGTGGGCTGTGGGCTGTGGGCTTTTACGGCCCCTGTAAGAAAAGCTGCTCATCCACCACAAAATACGATTTTGTACCTGTATTGGGCAACGGTTGCGATTTGTGGCTGGAATAGCACGACAAGCGCGTATACAGCGGAGGCTGCGCACCGTAACTCCGTCCTCCGTCTCTCCGTCCGGTCGGTATTAAGCAGAAAGACGGGATTCGCATAACGAACTCCCCTCGTCGAGCGATCTCCTGATCAGGCTAAAAGGGGGGGAAGTATATGGAGTACATATGTAGGCTCTCGTTATGCCTCTTCCCCCCATGTTGTCAAAGCTGGCCACAAGACCAGCAGCTTCGACCAACGGCTTCAAACCCGCGTTAGAGTGGCCGTACCCCACGTTGTGTGCCTGTAAGGACAGCATCACTATCGCCGGCGAGTAAGTTACTGGCCTAAATCCCTCTTCAACCAAACCCAATGCCTGTCGACGGGCCGCGACCTAAACACGTATATACGTCTGTGTACTTTGTAAGCGAGCTGGAGAGCAGCAGCTTCGACTCGTCATCCCGTGGCTGGTTATCCGGGGCTGAATTCAGTGCTGTCGTTGCCCCGAGTCAGCCTTCATTTGAATTCATTTTCTCACTTTTCTCCTCTTCCAGCATGGCATCTCTTCTGCTGCCGTCAATATCGCGATGTGGTTGAAATAGTCGTTTCTTCTTCTTCAGCTTCGTCGATGTTCTTTTTTTTGGCTGGCGCAGAGCCATATCACGTGTTTACATTACGTGTACATACAATACGAAGCACCACACTGAAGTTGTGTAATATTACTGTAATAATGGAAAGCGTATTTCATATCACGTGGTGCATAACTTGAATACAAACGCCGGCGACGACGACGACGACGACGACGATGATAGAGAAGAAGACGAAGACTGAAGATGACGAGGTCAGTCGGAGAGAAGGAATCAGTCATTATTGACTAGTCTGTCTGTCCCCAGCGGCTTGCTCCGGGGTGGGATAGCCGCCATTTCTCTCTCTGCGCGGCTCAAGCGGCATAGATCTATAGGAAGTATCAAGTTCAAGACCGGAGACTCAACTCATTGTCCCTGGTCAATTGAACTGTTATGTGAAGAGAAGACGGGTAAGAGGTACATAAGCGTACATGAGAGGATTTAAACCGCTAACATAGTCATTAAGCAACCCCCGGATTCTGCATGTTGCGAGGCGAGCTCCCCACGTCTCAAGGTTATATGTCGGTGATATGCAATGGTACGGGCCACCCCCCGCAAGAGGTGGTGTGATACTGTACCATTTTTACCCTTGCTCGACACGGACGGCGAGACGTTAAGGTGGTGGAAAGGAAGAAACAGATGTACAAAGCTTAGAAGCTGGGAAATTATGGGTTGAGACGCCCCATCATTCACTCAATCACACTGCTGCGTGGCCGAATGCTCCGTGCCTGGGGGTGATAAACGAAGATGCATACAGACCATTGAATGCATACATAAGGGAGGGGAGCTGCAAGTGACCTCCCGTGGGGAAAATAGACTCTTTGAGCGGCACCTACTGCCGAGCCGCAGGATCCGCGGGGGAGCTTTCCGTGGAGAATAAAAGCGCTGCGTTCAATTAATATCCCGATTTTTCTTTTGATTCCACATCCCGTTGGAAGAGACGGTATATGGGTCTCTGCTATTCCTGCCGTTGATACCTGGCTCCTCTGGGGGATGGATCGTGGGATATAGATGATGAGAGTGGGTGGCCCCCTTGCTCAGAGATGCCCTGGTACAGTTGAAGGACCGAATCTGCAATCCTTCGCTCGGCCAGCTTGAAGAAGCGGTGGCTTGAGCCGATATCCAGCATCTGTATAACTGCATACTTGGGAAGATGGCCTGCATATTACAATTCCTTCAGAGGTCCCAGAATTAGGGTGTCCCTGTCCCTGTCCCATTGACCAAACTTACAGTCGGCAATTAAAGCTAAGTTTAAATAAAGGAAGCAAAGTAAATAAACACAAACAATGCAAAAACTAGTAGGATTGCTGCTAGACACTTGAATCATACTCCGTAGAAATGTGTATATATGTGGACATATTGCATAATCGTTAGGCAGGATAAACAGGCAAGACATATGTTGAAACATGCATCAAGCCAGCCTATAGTTGAATCAAAAGAAAACAAGAAAAAGAAACGAAAAGAATTTAAATAAGTAAAGAAAAGAAGTAAAATGCAAAACTATCCACCCAGAGCAAGACGGAATTAAGACGCAGTGGTGCAGACCTCTATATATATATCAAATCGAAGAAAACCTGGTAGAGAAGGGCAAGAATGAGAGGTTCCGATCCAGCCGTGGGGAATTATATAGCTAAAAAGAAAAGCAAAGAAAGATCGGGGAGGAGGTCGCGTGGTCGAGGCAGTGAGCTGTGTGTGACAGGCATTAAAGTAGTAGGGATTGGTAGTGGCCAGGTGACGGTGAACAAAGGGGATATTCAGGGGTAATGAAGGGGCTAGCTATGGTATATAGGGTATATAGGTGTGTGTTGATGTGGGTGGTTTAACTGCCGCTACAGCAGCACAGCGTCTTCCACCACGGTATGGAGACACGCTCCGAAGGTTTAAACTGGCCGAGCCCAGCATGTCTGTGGTCTGAGTGAGGATAGTTGTTAGGGTAACCTGGCTCGCCCGTGTCCGGGTCTGGTTTCTTGCTCGAATGCGTGGACAAGGTACCCGGACGAGACTGTCCCTGGCTGTGGCCCTGGCCTTGGCTCTGGTTCTCCCACTGATTGGGGTTGAGGATCGGCTGACCAGACCTGGGACGTTTCGAATTAGCAGCGTTGGCGCGTCTGGTCAGTGCCTGCTGGACGACGAGCCAGATGCTTCGCCGGCGGGAGCGTGCGCCCGAGCTGACACTGCGTCCTGCGGGGTCTTGTCTCTCTTCTGTGGTGAGAGGCGCCGTCTGGCTGAGGGCTATGGGCTCCGTGGCTCGCCTGCAGGCGGCGGAGAAGAAGCGTGAGGCAGAAGAGAGCTGCTCTGCCTCTTTGAAAGCATGGAGCTGAGCTATCTGCTGCTCCCGGTGTAGTTTACGGGCCTCTACTACCCGTCGTACAATCACTATCCACCGTTAGTCAGTGATACTATAGTAACTGGTAAAGGACTGGCGTACAGGCAAAGGTCTCCTCGATATTGACCATCTCCCACGCACTGGTCTCCATGAAGCCACACCCTCTGCTCCTGGCCCATTCGAGGCCCCGTCTGGAGCTGATGACCCGGGCTTCCTTGAGATCGCACTTGTTCCCAGCAACGATCTTGACCGGCGGCGGCATGCCCAGCGGGGGCACGTCTTCCGGCGGCAGGTCGGGATAGTCACGATAGAACTGCTTGAGCAGGCGGATGTTCTGCTCCTCCCGGTTCTCCGTCTCCATGTCTATCATCTCCATGAAGTGGCCCAGCGTCTCGAGCGTGGGCTCGTTGGTGATGTCGTACACGAGCAGAAAGGCATCGGAATTGAGGTTCGACGCAGCCCACAGGCCGCGATACTCCTCCTGGCCCGCGGTGTCTGTGAGCGAGAGAAAGTACGGCAGCCCGTCGACCGTCCGAGTCACCGAGTAGGAGTCCTCTATAGCATCCTATTAGGCTCTTCTTCTTCTTCTTCTTCTTCTTCTCTGTCTATCGTTGTGGACGTACCGATGGTTGGATCATACCTGCAGCCGCGATGTTAGCCCACGAAACGCCTCGCTGCCCGCTGGATATCTGGATAGACGACTCTCTCTACTTACTCGTGAGTCCACTGGCTTCGCACCAGCCGCAGCGTAATCGACGACTTGCCTGGTCCCCGGCGGTTGCGGTCAGCTATCAAACATCCCGTCCACGGTCGTTGTATATAACTACAGGGCCCTTGCTAATAACAACAAACAAACAACAACAAACAACATCATCAACATCACCAACAACGACAACGTACCGCATCCTCCATCACCGCAGATAGTAATGGAAATCGTCTCCGCCATGGGCTTGCGGACAGCCTTGGGCCAGGCCTGCGCCGGCAAACGCACGCGAAGACGATTCCGCCGTCGTTCTCGTATCGACCCGAGTCGCAGCTCCAGCCAGCCCGCCTACACTAGAGCGCAAGATAAGCAGCGTTGGATATCTCTCGGACTCTCTGCTAACTGGCCGTCTAGGTCGAATAATATACAACCAGCAGCGTCCGTCAGCGTCCGTCAGCGTCCGTCAGCGTCCTCCGGCGATGGCGTGAGAAAAGCGATCTGTCGCCTGCGCTGGTTTTTTCCTGGCCTGCGTGTTTCAGAGAGTCGCCATCGTCTGTCAGGTTGCCTGCGCCTGAGGAGCCCCCTCCCCCCTTGGAACCCACCGGGTGCGCGCTCGTCTCTTATACGGCTGTGTGCCTCTTACTACGTACAAGCTATCGCCTCGCAGGACGACGAGCGGAGAGGAAGAAGGAAAGGCGAGATCAGATCATGGCTCCCCGGCTGCTTGGGCTGCTGTCTATGCCCTATGCAGTATCGCGCCAGCCCTGAGTTGGCTGCGATGTGCAACTCGAGCGTCCAGAAACTGGAGGGAACCAGCTTGCTTTTTCCGCTGGATTCTGGGCTTTCTTGCTTGGTTCCGGCGGGTGTTGGATGCTGTATTTCTCTATGGCTGCTATGATTCTGATTCATTTTATCCATGTACTCTGTACATACACTGGTGCAACGCTGGAAAGAAGGGGGGAGGGAAAAGGGGGGCCAGAGGATGCGTCTGCTACCAAATAATATGCAGGGGGGAAAGGAATATATTGGATCGTGTGCAAGATGATATTATATATATCAGACAGGCCTGGATAGATATGACGAACGACTAAATCTACCTCGCTGGCCGACCATCGTCATCCCAAGATTATCTTCTGCATGTCATTGACTGGGCCGAGCAGAGAACATGGATGCTGCCGAGAGCTACTAGCTACTAGCAGCTACTCTTGTGTTGAAATGTTGGTGTGCTGGTGCTAGACGATCGATCCTGGAGTGCAGCTGCTGCCATCCCCCCAGGCAGCGTCATACACGGTGCGCCAGACCTCGTTCATGTCGAACAGCATGGGCGTTGTTGTCCAGAGCCGGCAGTCCGCTGGCTCGCTGACAAACTGTAGCGGCGTCTTCGAGTCATCGTCCGGATGGACGGCGTTGCGAAGGTTGACTCCGCCCTCCTTGATGCGAGAGCGCATCGTCGCCGTTCCGGGCCACCTCGCCGATGGGTGTCTTTGCCAGACGCTCCTGTTCCGTATTGTCGGAGAGTTCGTCGACGGTCTGTATGGCTACACTACGTATCTGATCAAGGCGCAGAATCTGCGTGCCCTTGACGCCGCCGACTGCCTCGACCCGGCCAGCATGGCGCGGCCGCCCGCCTATCACCACCGATTTCACCCCGTTGCGCCTCAGCAGGTTGGCCATTAGCGCGCAGGTCGAGCCGCAGGCACCGTCGGTCAGCAGGACCATCTGCGCCGGCTGGAAGACGGGAGGAGGCAGGTTCGCTCGGTTCAGGTACCCGGCCACCGTTAACTCCCCTGTAGAGCCAGCCAGGGCCTCGCTACCGAGGTTCCAGGTCGACAGGTTCGTGAACTTGAAGCCACTGACCTCGTCAGGACCGAAGAACTCCTCCCAGTTCTTCCGGGGCCGTCCATGGGTGTCGAGATACACGGAAACGTCGAACTCACTTCCTCGCAGGGCCTCGACCTCTTTGCCGCCACTGCCATCTAATAATGCCTTGTTCACTTTGGTGCCTACGAAATTAAGCTGATCGGTAGCCCGCAGGTTGAAAGCATCATTGGGCTCTGTCTTGGGGAATAACTAGAGCCATGTTAGATCTTGCTTCGAAAAGGCTGGAAACATATCAAACGGAGGAGAATTACCTGTTTAAACACGTCATAGCCCAGGAAGACGGTGCCGCCTCCATTCCCAGTCACATCGATGATGAGCTTCGACTTGCCTGCTTTCCCACAGGCAGCCAGGAATCTGCTGACCACAGCACTGAACTTCTGGAACTGCAGTCCGCTGATCTTGTCTTCTGCCACAAAGGAGTTGATAGACAACACGGCCGCATCGTTACGGCCAGCAACAAAATACCCAGCTACTGCGCCAGATTGAAACTCCTCCACTGCCTTTGGGAAGTGTGGTCTCGGCGACTTGCCGGGCTCATCCCGTTTCTCAAAGTGGACTTCCCTTTGGCTGACAGTCGTAATGGCACTGCGTCTGTTATCCCTCCTCTTCCGTCGTTCGTCAGCAGAATCATAATTGCAGAATTGACGGTAAAACGATTTACCATCCACCACCCCGTCGAACACTTCCTCGGTGCGAGCGTGATTCGTAAACGCCCTCGTCGTGCCGTTTTCGAAGGTAAGAGTCGTGTTAGCGCCAGGGTACACACCTGTCACCGAATAGAAGTTCCCGTACCAGTCCTGCTCGGCCTTTGGAATGGAGTAGAAGAGACCGCTGTACATTGAATCTGGATCCCGCTGGCCGCCGTTGTACGACCACTTCTGCAGCCAGTCGATGACATCCTCGCCGTCGATCTGCTTGACTGGAGACGGCGTCCATTTTGCTCCTTCCTTTACAGTTGCATTCAAATCTTCTAGATTACATGTCCGTTAGCAACTTACTGCACACAAAAACCAGAAGCAAAAAAGCATGCAATACATACTAAAGACGAATATCTCTGGGAGCTTCACCCCGTCTTGGGAGACGGAGACGAGCGGCCCAATTTCAGTTCTCCCGAACTTAAACACGCTCATAAGGTCCAAGTCGACATAAAAATGTCCATCATGAGCAGATGCTATCAGTTCAGTCAACTCCTTTTGGAACGTATACTCATTGGGATACTCGTCACGGTTCACTTTATCCCTTATCTTCTTTAGGCCGCCTTCCACGTCAACCCCAGGAAGCTGATATCCCTTGGGCGGATCCTTGAGATAGTCGATTGTGCTTTGCCATTCGAGAAAGGGGAGAAGGCCATTGACGAGTTTAAGAGCATGTTGCTTTTTGATCGGAACGGACATTAGACAGGCGTGGGCCAGTCCGGCCTCGACGAAGAGTTTCAGTGCTATAGACGACGTGTTCAATAAGATTGCACACGGAATAGCCATGAACTACGAAGCAGCTTACCAAATGAATCCTTCTTTCGCTGTTCTTCTTGCGCCTGAGCTATCACTGCACAGGGTTCCCGGCGCTGATTTGCATTCGACGATATCGGACTCGGCAATGCTAGTGTTTGGGGTATTATTGAAGACAACGCTGCCATTGCAACGATGCCATGATGCAACCAACCCATGATTGAATATTGAACCAAGGAAGAATTAAAAAAAGGGCGGTTGTCAGTTGTACAATGTACTCTCCCGTACGTGAGAACAAAAAACAAATATACAAGAAGACGTAAGATGATATGTAAACGGCTCGTGGTAGGGAGCTAATATGTATGAGGGCTGTCTTATAGATCTATCTGCGTCTCAAATGACACAGATCAAATAAATATAAACGGACAAAAAGGAACGACGAAGAAGAAATGAAGAAGAAATCTGCAACCCTTCTTCGTTGAGTATTGGGGGAATAGAGAAGGCCTATTCCGTATTTATACCCCTAATGAGGGCCCAGTCTAGGGGAGGAGGCATTTGGCCGGCGCTTGGTGAAATCCCTTCCCCCTGACCCGGCGGGTAGCTCAGATTCTCTATACACACCAGCTGACCGTTGTAATCTCCGGCCCAATAGAGCCCGTCTGTCGACTCTAAGCCCACTTGTTGAGGCAGACTGAATAGAAATAAGAGCAGTGCTCCGATATTAAGAGGACAGGCCGCTGTACCGCCGTGTTTTGCTCTCGTGGTGTTGCCAGGGGTTGTCTGCTAGTTATTGGCTATGCCCTCACAACCAGCAGATATGAATCCACAGCCCGCAGCCAGTCGAAGGGCGAGGCCCAACGGCCAACGCCGTCCAGTCAGTTGAGCTTTCCTGCAACATTCTTCTTGTTTGTTGGTGAGGGAGCCTTCTTCTTGTCGCTGGCTGATATTGATTGCTGGCAGCATCATCACCGTTTTTAGGGGGAACAATTCTCTCAATATCGGACCAAAAAAAGTCAATGCATGTTCATTTCGTCCGTCTCTCAAGTCTTTGTCTTGTATTCTGACTTCGAAACTCTTCCGCAGGTAATTCTGTGTGGACTTGTTGACGGCGCTTAGCTGGCGATATCAGATGACTCCACAAATTCTCTGATATTAAATTAATTTAGCGGCTGGCCCATCTGCTAGCTAACTAGCACGATCTGATAATTCTTCCCTTCCTCCGATTATATCTTCTCATACCTCAGCTCTTAGTGAAATTGCTGAGTTGACCGATGGGTATGAAGAAGAAAAATTCCCCGCCCACGCGGGCATCGACAGCATATAAGTAGTTAGTTAGCTTGTAACTAGCTAGCTGGCTCACCAGTCCATCCCTGTCCTTAGTCAACGGGCCCCCCTTGAGAGCCTCCACTAGAGGAGATACTGGCCACCACTAAGGACTTCCAGCAGTAGTCTACGTCATGGGCATGTTGCTGCTAAGGTTGGACCCGGTTTTTCTCGTTTTCTAGAATGAAACTGAAGACATCGAAGAACAGCTAGTTAGCCCAAGACAGACGGCGATGCTTGTCTTCAAACGGCATACTCCGTACTCCGGATGCATTGAGCATGAATATAAGAATTGCGTGCCTCATAGATAACACCAACGGCCACGTTAAAAGACGACGCTACGGAGTATCCCGTCCTCTGCATGCCTCTGCTCAGCTTCGCCCTTGTTGCTCCCTCGGTTCTCATCTTTCCACAGGGTACTCTTTTCTCCTGGCTGCTTGGAGCAGAGTAAACTAGACATGCATCCCTCATCCCACTCCAGCGGATATCGAGTCGGTATCTGCCAGTCTGCTTCTTCTCTGCCGTCTTCCACCCTTTTGCAGAGAACAAAACTCGGCAGTAAGTATCGATACAGAGAGTAAACAGATAGTAAATAATAATAGAAACACTCCGTATATATAAATAGAGCCAAGCGCTGCATGTCACGGCCGCCCTCTGATTGGCTCTTTCGCCAAACGTTAAATTCTGCCTTGTTTTTGCGCTGCGAAAAATCTCGCGACTTTTAAATTTTACGCCTTTTTTCGACTTCATCAAAACATCGACAGTTCAACGACCGCGCTCGAAGATCGCCCTGGCATGCCCGTTTGACGCCAGCTGGCCTCCAAACGCCCCGCTAGGGAAACCATGACGGCTGGCCATGGCTGCCAACCCAGCAGCTGCTCGTGTTCGTGAGAACCAACGCCGTTCTCGCGCCCGCCGGAAGGAATACATCCAAGACCTCGAAGCCCGGCTCCAGCGATACGAACGCCATGGAGTCGACGTCACCATCGAAGTGCAGACCGCTGCCAGAAAGGTAGCGAGACAGAATGTCATGCTGAGATCGCTGCTGAACTCCTTTGGGGTCACGGACGCAAAGATAGACGAGTATCTCGCCTACGCTGAAGAACACAACAGCAGCCCTAGCTCTGCCCCTGAGAAGTGGGTCCCTGCAGCTGCAGCTGCAGCTGCACCAGTAACTTCACCAGCAACGTTACCCGCTACAACAGTGCCAGCAGTGGTACCAGCAGCGGTGCCAGCAACAGCCGTGGGACAACCTTCGCCTGCACCCGTTCACGCAAGTCCTGCACCATCAAGGTGCTGCCGGCCGAAGCAGGAACCCCGGGAATGTCCAGCCCCAGTAGTGGCTGAGAGAGTACCCTCTGCAGCACCACAGGCCTGCTCCGCTAGTCCGGCTGACAGCACCACGTCGGAAGCTGATATCGCTAATAATCCATCGTCGGACGGTGTGTCCGCCCCCAGCTCGTCTAAACAGTGGAGTGAAGACACGACTCCCTGCGAAGAGGCTGCGAGAATAATCGCGAGCATGCGAGGGGACTGCGATGAGCAATCGGTGCGAGATGAACTGGGATGCGGATCAAACAAAACCTGCATGGTCAACAACATGACGATCTTCCAGGTGATGGATCGGGGATGATATCCCGACCAAGTCCAAAATCATGGTCGATAACTAGACCAACCCTGGAATGAAAACAGTCCCCTTTCTTCTTTTTTATATATTTCTTGATCCGTTTATCCTTCTCGGCGAGTATCCTTGGACCGTTTACCTTTATAAACGACAAGAGAAACGAAAGAGCCTGAGCTTCCTGCTAAAAATCATGATTCATTATTGCAGTCTAATTTCGAATTGATTAAACAATTACCCGCCTTTCGAATTAAACATTCTTTCTTCTATTCCAATAGAAGGGCACTCTCGGGCCTTGGATATGAGAGATCTGGGAACTTGTTCATGCTTTGATGGCATAGATCTTGAAGGAACCTATGACCTCGTCAATAGTCTGTGGAGCCTCCATCGGAAAAGAAAAGGAAACAGGTTATACAACTTACCCGCCCATTCATTAAAGTCAACATTTGCAACTTCAGCCGCCGAATCGGCTGAGACCACTCCACCACTGCAGCAGCCTGGCTTACTCTTCGGGCCACAGCCGCTAGTAGCCTGACCATCGTCTTTGGCGGTTGTATATACGTTCAGGTTGGATTTGGTGTCGACGATAAGGACCTCTGTATGAATCGTGAGCACATATACATGGCCACTGGAGAATCTAAAAGCATCCAACAATCTCCTTGGAGCATACCGTCAAAACCAGCTTTGCGAAGATACTTCTCGTAGTTCTCAACCTGACTCGCGCCAGCAATGCAGCCAACACAGAGAGCCACGCTGTTACGGATTTCTGTTGGAAGTGGCTTTTTAGCAAGGATATCGCTGATGGCAACTCGACCGCCTGGCTTGAGGAGCCGGAACATCTCGTTGAAAACAAGCTGCTTCTCTGACTCGGGGACAAGGTTCACCACGCAGTTGCTGATGATACAATTGGCAACGGAGTCAGGGAGGTTGATGGCCGTGATTTGCGAGTCGATGAAGGATACGTTCTCTGCCTTTGCGTCTTCCTTGTTCTTCTTGGCCCTCTCGAGCATATCCTATCCCAAACAAGGTCAGCGGCTGGATAGTCTGAACAAACTACTGGACACAATGGTTTCCTCCTTACCTTGTTCATGTCTACCCCGATGACCTTGCCGGTAGAACCCACGGCCTTGGCAGCTAAGAATACATCGAATCCGGCACCAGATCCGAGATCAATCACACATTCACCCTATTTACCGAGTTAGCGATATATTGCAAATCACTTAAAAAAAGTTTCAGACCTCTTTCAAGTTTGCCAGTGCCAGCGGGTTGCCGCAGCTCAGGCCGAGATTGGCGTTTGCCGGCGTGTTGGCCAGTTCTTCCTCACTGTAGCCAAAGGCCGCCGCCACCTTACGGCTATAGGCATTATCGTCACTAGTTCTAGCGGCTAAGCCATAGTGCTTCTGAACATCGTTATAAACCTGCTGGTTCTCCATATTGCCTGTCGAACAACCCGCGGAAGATGTCAATATAGTGGCTTGAGAGTGCAAATATAGTTGGAATAAAACTCCCGTTCTCATCTGTTTCCCATTGTTTATATATCCAACGCCTCCGATGTAGCAGCCAAGGAAGATATGTCACAACCATCTTCTGATTGGTAGGTGCGAAGCAAACAAGACATAACAGGGGGCTTGGACCCTCCAACGGCTTTCGTACTTCCATATTTTACTTCTCATCCATACTACTAATACAACCAGAATGAATTATATATAATATCCGTGTCTAGATTCAAGGCCCAAAAACAAGAGCCGTACCTCCCCCCCTCGCCTCGTATAAGCAACGTGCATGAGTACATGGCCAAATTTCCCTCGGAAAGTGTGGTATGACCTCATCTTGGATTTTGATAGTTACCCGCTCCTCGGTCGAAATTGCGTCAGCAGTTAGATAATAATGAGGATACGTTCCCAAAACAAAAAAAGGGTTGTCGTCTGGATAGGTCGACGGAGAAGCCTGAGCGAAAATAATTATCGCCTTCTTACAAGTTGTCGGTATTCAGACTGGGCATCTGCCGCCCGCTGCGTCGATAGTTTCCGTTCGTCTCAGGTGTCGCTTGTTGGCTTAGTTCAAGTGGACCTTGAGTGATTATCCGGCCGAGTCTGATCCCCTCCCCAGACACAAGCGATACGGCGCGAAGCCACATTCAGCTTGAAAGTACGTATCAAACTGTCACCTCCACCTCCCGTTGAGTGTGAGTGGAGGTTTAAGGCTGAAGTTGTATATTTCCAGATACCTCGGCTGGGTGCGATCTCGTAGCACAAAGAGCATGCCTTGACCGAACTAGGACAGGATCTCCTGTTTCATGATCTTAGAAAACTCCTAGTCTACTGCGTTTTTAAAGATAGGGATCTCAGCCCATCAGTAGCAGGGAGCTCCACTGGGCGCGACGATACTGTCCTATACTGGGCAGCAGGTCGAGGTGGCAGTTGCGTAGCATTCTGGTAGGTCTCACCAGACCTGTCAGTAAATGAGGAATAAGTCCCGCCACTAATATCCCCGGGAAGTTCCGTAACATCTTGGTGGTGAGCCAATGCAGTGTCCGTCACCGTAGATTCCCCATGCTGTACAACATATGTCAGTATCACCACGGGAAGTAAGCGGGGGTTGGGTATGTATACGTACAGTAAATGGAACTGGTATCCTGCGAATATAGCCCACACTTTTGTTAACATCTGCCCAAGCGAGGACTATTGATTCGTCACCCTGGAGTACCATGAACGACATCGCGAAAAAGCTGCATCTTGCGGTAAGCTCCTTGGTAGTAGCAAGCCTTCGTGCTTCCATCACACTCGAGTTAAGGTTAGTCACAAGGTAGAGGTGGCCTTTGTCGTTTACCATGCCGAGCTGTTTTCCAGTTAAGGAGAAAGCACCGCATTGTACTCGTGTGCCGAGACGACGTCCATGCCCTGAACCATCGGCTTTGATCTCGACCCGGTGCCCAGTCTTGGGAGACAACAATAATGGTGTGCCTGATTGTGTCCATGTTGTGATACACACCAAGTCATCTTCTCCGCCTACGCCAGGCCGATACAGGACTGACGAAATTCCACCATCTTCCGACTCATGCAATGGAATAGGGTAGTGGCAGTTGGAGAGCTCTTGGAAAGTGAACGTCGACGCTCGACGGAGGAATGTTTGTATTACGCCTTTCGCATTTCTTGTGCTTGCTATGAGCGTCTCCCCATCTGGTGAAAACGAGAGAGTGTCGACAGGTGGACACTTCTCACATTCGCTAGGGGTATGGTATCGATTATGAAGACGGAACTCCCGTTGCGGTTCAAACATAGTGGTTTTAAAGAATCGAACAGTGGCATTCTCAAAGCCGACGGCAACGTGTGACTCTCTTGGGCAAATCGCAATACTCTTACACCATTGGGATGAAGGCATTTGATATTCCAGGGGTGCAGCGGTCGGAAAAGAAAGATTGATGATTCGAAGCTACCGGTAATAGTTATGAGTATATGCCGGATGATAGAAGCAAAACATTAGAGGCAATAGCATGCACATACCGTGAGTTTTTGGTCCTTGCTCCCAACGATATACGCCAGATATCTTTTCGTAACAGCAGCAAGAAGACATGAACCTTCGGTGGGAATGATCCTAGTCACGGCTGCAGGCGTCACGCCAACGTCCCATACTTGAATGGTCGAGGGCATCCAGAACAGGGCATTGGTGCTATTCTGGGAAAGACTGACATTCATAAGTTTTGAAACCTTTCCTTTTCCTTGGGATTTTGCCGCACTAGTCAGATTCTTCAGGCAGATCTCCTCTGGTCGCTGGTTTTCCATTGATCCAGACGAATGGGAGCTTGCATCTCCTGAAGGTGTAGACCGATGTTCTCTCTTAGGTTTAAACAACCTCGAGATTTTCCTCCCAGGCAGTGACTTACTCGAAGTACCAAGACGGGGAGGTGAGACACTATGCTGACTAGCTGTACGATGAATATCTGCTACCTTAACCGGCAGCTTGCGATAAGTTTCAGAACCGTTATGGGTGGAATTGTCGGATGTATTGGTAAGATGTTGCCTAGAAATATCAGCGTCAGGGCTAACCACTTCGGTTATTGACCCCAATGAGTGCTCTTTATTATGAATATCTTCAAAAGCGTGCCTTGTATCGGGTGACACTGGAGATATGCTAGTCGCGGTGGTGGGGGATCTTCCTATAGTGGTCGGACTAGGGTTCGGGTTGGGACTCTGTGGAGGCCTAAGAGATGATGATGGATCGGAGAGTATCTGTATGCATATTATCAGTATTACTGGAACCAAACCATATATCATATATTTTGGTGTCACTGACTTTGGGCGGAAATAGTTGATATGGAGGTGAGAAGTGCCGTAGCTCGCTGGGAGGATCGGCATTGTATTCAACGTCATTTAGGAGCTCCCATGTTTCTCTGATAAGTGGTATTTCCCGTGCAAGAGTTACTACTTGCTTGCACTGAACACATTTCGTGTTTGATGGCAGGCCAATCTCAGATCCTTCGGTCGGTTTCTGCGGATAGTGTTAACGTCTGTATTATCCCACCAGGGAGTGCTGCGTGGAAGAAACGTACCGGGAATTCAAGTTGCTCTAGAACTCGTAATTGAGTATTTCCAGCGAGGTGGCAGGATTTGCAATTTAGCGCATATACTCGGGGCACTCGAAGTACCATGTCTTCGGAAGTTTCATTTGGGTCATCGAGAAGAGTTATGCGCCTGTTCACCTCTGCAATCGCATGCATCAAAGGTCCATCGCTTGACCGATGAATAATTTGTCTGTTTGAAAGTGATGAACAGAATGACTTGATGGCCTCTACATCATTGACGTCACCAAGAAGCCCTGATAGATTTCGGAATCCATTGATTGGGGGTGTATCTGGCAAAATAGTTCGGAACGCTTCGCTAAACATGGATAGCAATTCTAGTTTCGGGTAATTGTTGGGCATGTATATTTTATCCAGACTGGATAGGATCGCGTCTCTAGTTTTGGCACATGACGCTGGGAGGTCAAAGTCTTCGGTTTCCTCTGAAACCGCATACTGAATAGATGCGCCAACAACGAACTGGGTGATATCTCTCAGGGCCAAAAACTGTGTCAGCCAGTTGTTAAAACGGCCTTCCTGCTCAGCAATTGTAGAGACATATCGATCCGACAAGCAGTCATGTAATGGGTACTTCGCTAAGTAATCAGCAACCTAGTTTTGACAATGTAGGGGAGAATAACTATAATAACTATGGGGAGGGGGGGAATAGTGATATATATGGAAGGGCTGGGCATACCAAATCCAGGGCCAAGTTTGGTATTTCCTTCATGAGCTTGGTGGGCAGTGGCAGCGATGTAGGATCCATACGTAACGCATTAGCCATATCTCGACAGATGAGTAGGAGACATGGTCTCGGGCCTGGGTAACGGTCATGTAGTTTATCGAGGAGCCGATGGATTCGAGCAAACCGGTGCTTCTGGTCTTTTATATCTGGAAGGCTCTTAGGATGAAATGATAGTACACGTAACGCTGTAGAGACGAGGTCGGCCAGCTGCACATCCAGGTGCTGGTGAACATTGAACAGATTCTCATGTCCCTCGAGAACGACTTGCAATACGAATTCTATGGACCGCGATATGGTCTCCCAATTCGCCAGAAAGCCCACATATTCTTCAACCTGCTCCTTGTCCGAAGGGAGTGATAGGCGCTGGATATAGAGAACAGCGTTGAGCTGCGATAGCAGAGTGCTGACAAGTTGTTGGAACTTCTCACGGTTGCTATCAGCGTATATTCTATCCAGCGAGAACCTGCCCAGAAGCTCCAAAATTATATCATCGGCATCGCTTCGAAGGCTGAGGAGCCGGAAGACGTTCGCAAGGTGGAGGAACTGGGTAGATGCAGTTGCAAGAGCCATGGCATCGGCCCCGGTTGGGGGTTCGGTCGTACGCCCGTTGCGGGCTCGATTGACGGAGAGTATTCAGATTCCCGGATCCTCGAAAAAGTGTATGAGCCGCTCCCCGTTCTCCTCCTGGTATCCGTCCTTCTTCCCTCACACTGCTCCTACTCTTCTGCTAACCGATATCTGGTTTCCAACGCGGCCTTTCGAAAGGGCTTCAGTTCTGACGTCTTGACTCCAGTTATACGGCGCCTTTGACACTCTGGAACCAACGTGTATGCAGGTCCGATCCCCTAGCCAGGCATGAAACGGATGATCGACTTCAGCGACAAGATAGCTCGGTGATGCCTTTCGTACGATGGAATGCAAGGCATTTCATAGCGGCAAGCTCAACGTGCTAGCGAAACAAGGAGATCTGAACAGCTCCAGGCTAGTCTCAGTAGACCATCGGAAAGGATATGGCCAGGTTCAGGACGACCACAGGCAGATAGATGGCTATTCGTCGGTAACGATAACAGGCGGGCGACAGCGACGGCGACGATGGAAGATAACCAAATATCGAATTTCAAACGGGCCAGCGAATTAACGATCCCTCTGCATCAAGTGGGACATACAAGAGTTTTAACTTAGGCGGCTGCCCAGCCACGATCCAGAAGCGCAGCCGTGCTTATATTTTTTGTCAGTCAGGCAGGCAGTGATGTATATCTGGAGCGGCCAGTGTATAGTACCTCCGTATGTATGTATCAGTTAATAATAATACTCTGTTCGGCTCAGCCCCTGGTCCAACCGTCTGTTTCTGCTGACATGCATCTATCTGCTTTTCTGAGGCGATGTTTGTCTCTGCTGCTGCTTGGACGTCATTCAGCTCCGTTGTTACATGAAATGTATTTGCTCATGTGGCTGTTCCCGGGCCAGGAGTCGGGCTGTTCTGGGAGATTAGGAATATCGCTACTTGTAGAACCTCCCGTACTTTAGAGTGCTTGTATGGAGTAGATGGCTAATCTGTTCCCTCTCCCCGGCAACAACTGGAGCAGTTACTCCGTAAGTGCTCCGCAATTGGCGTGAAGGGGCTCACTTCTCCATACAAAATAAGGTACCTGCCCTTTTGTAGATTCTATCCACGGCCGTTGGCCAGCGGGCCGAATGACAATGGGGAAGAATTCGAACAGCTGCGGCTTATTTCTGAGGGAAGAACGTCCAATGGGCAGTTTGAAATACAATAAACTCCCGGAATGGCTGTCGTCGTTGTAATTTTTGTTTTCTCCTTTTAATTTCCTCTGGTTAGGCGGAAGGCTGAGAGTATGAGGAAATGGTTAGGTACTGTAAATTGATGTGCCAGGAAAGTCACTTATTAGTGCAGTTACTATGACACAGGATCTGCTCTGGCGGACTCGAAGAGGGTTGGTTGAACTTGAACTCCCCTGGCCGTTATCTCGTCTTCTGGTCAGCTTCTTTTTCTCTTTCTCTGCGGCTTCGGGAGGCGTCTTTTCCCGATATAAACGGCGCAAGCAAGTGCTCGGCAGACCAACCCGCTCATTTGTCAGGCTGCCTCGATTGCAGAGAAAAGAAAACATACGCTCCGTGCATGTTTTATTCCCAACTGTTCGTTGAAGTGGATGATTTCTCTTTTTATTCTTCGTCCTCCCTTTCTGCCTGTAAAATGGCTGCTGCTGGGTCCTCTCTCCCCAGATCCTTGTGGCTGGGATCAGATCAAGGACACCACAAGCGAGAGACTGCTGGTTAAAAAGCGGAGCAGGCGGAGCCAAACACACCTGCAACGATAAGATTTGCTGCTCCATGAGCTAGTTTGCTGGTCCTCCCATTCGGTCGAATAAGAGCGCCTGGCTCAGCTGGGGTCACAAGAAAGCCAAGTGGGAGAGGGAGATTGTGGGCAACCTGACGAAGACTGAACTTGATGGGCGGTGTTTGAGCCTGGGCAACTGGGAGTCGATGACGCTGTGATAGCTAGATGCCTATTCCGTACTGCAAGGCAGCGCACATCTTCAAGGAGGATGTGCATTCTCCCCGAGTTCAACTTACGTATTGGATTGCGTCTCTACACTTGGTGCGCTTTGCGGTGGGAGGATCCGCTGGCGCAAGATGTGTCTGCCTCTCCCCCAGGAAAATGGCTGGGGCCCTCCCAGCAAGGGGGTTTGCCTCTGCCATTTCATAGGTAAGCTCAGTCTGGGGGGGGGGGGAGGAGTGCGAGAGGACAAATGGCAGCCAGCGAGGTGGGGGGCGGGTACGGAAGCTGGGCTGTAAATCCACATGAACAGTCTGGCTGTAGCCTGACTGCACCTGTGAGAAGCACAAAAAACTCCTTTTGCCCTTCGTTTCTTTTTCCGTGGTCTAGAGGCCAGCCGAGGGTGGGATTATCAATCAAATTTTTTTGACGATCGAGAGACACGCTGCGGCAAAAGGCATAATGAACAAAAAGGAAAAGAAGAGCAGAAAGAAAGCCAAGGCCATCCTCTTTTTATCCTCCAGCGGCAGGAATGTAAGCATGATTATCTCCTGAATGTCCTGGCGAAACGATCAACTGCCACGGCCATTGCGAGAAAGGTCAGCGATCAGGGGGCTTTCGCGACTATTTCCCCTTCCCCCTTTATGCATCGGCTTCCAGCGGTAATTTGGCATTTGCGCTGATGCCCAAGCTGGGAGTGTTCTCCGTTCGTCGTTTGGTTATGACCAGACAGAGGGTCAAAGTTCTGGGAAGAGTATCAGTGTCCTCTGTCTTCTCTATTATATCGACCGTGTGCTTCCTCTCTTCCATATGTTTAGCTAACAGGAGTGTTAGTTAGCTTGTTAGTTAGTTATACCCACTGCCATGCCCCTCCAGCATGGACGAAAGAGGTGTTTGCAGAAACACACCGAATAATGCGACGAAAGCGAGGGAATGTTCCCAGGAGGTGTGGAGAGCGGCCTCGTATATATACGTAGATCCTGGGATGTTATACTTTTAACTCCTTAATCCCATTCATTTTGTGTGAGCAATCCCTCCAGCTGGACTGGCATCAGTGATACGACCCCCAGGATCGTACAAAAGGCTGCGTGAAGAAGATACCTCATCGCAACAACTTCTGAAGGGTAAGACAGATAGGAACCTTTGAGTAACAAAATTGTAACTCTCTCAGGACCGCCCGTTTCCCAATCTTATGCTGGATTTATCCGTTAGTTATTCCCGTCTTAAATCCTTCATCCATTGTTTCTCTCGTTTCCCACGTTTATCGTATAACGTGGGATAATAAGTTCGGGTCCCAAGACAAGCCCAGCGATAGATTATTAACATCATTTTCTTTTTGTCAAAGAGGAAAAAAATGACATATAATATGTCCTATCCTTGCTGATTGCTTGGGTGCTTTGCTTCTCGAAGCAAAATAACCACACGACGACCTTTGATTTCTTTTGCCGGGTTGGCTCACACACTCACATCATTGCAGTCCGCGCCCATGCTGTCTGTTTTATCTGGACGGCCCATTAGATTATTTACGAAGATCATCGCTTCGATGATATTCATGGTTCGCCGAGATATGGTATTTCCCCTTTGTTCAAAAGATTGAGGCTGAGCGGGAGGCGGGCCTTCGAACAGCCTAGAGAAAAAAGAACGATGACTTCATCTCTTCGACGGTCCGGTTGGGGATGTCCTTCGAGGTCAAGCAAACGTGCATTGATAGAATTGTCCACAGTTGGCCACGTCTTTATATCACACCGCATCCCAGAGGCTCCAGCTCCCTTTAGCACCCCCTGATCAGACGAGAAGCCGTACTCCGTAGTTCTTCATGGTCACGAAATCTCTTGTACTCCGTACGCTCTGACGCATCACGAGCGAGGCGAGGGAACAAACTTCGGTGGTATTTGTTGTAAAGCTGTAGATTGACTCCTGTAGCAGCCCTGCTAGCGGGATTTAGTCCAGCATCGAGGTTTGATGGACAAGGACCAGCATTCATCTTCATCCACTTCCCGAGTAGTACCGCGCCACCATGGCCCGTTTCAGGGTTTACGCTTTTCCCTTTTGCTTCTGGAGGCATGGCTCTTTTCTTTTTCAAAGACAAGGGAGTGATTCCCTGCAGTGCCCAAGTCCTGGTACCGCAGCATCTAGTGTGTCTTGATACGAGAAGTGCAAGCCGATGATCAGCCTTCTTCCACCATTCACCCGAAGTTTATTCAGTAATTGCAGGCTGCGCTCTGAATCAGTGGCTTTTATTCCTCAAGCATCCCCGATTCCTTCACATTGCAACTTTGGGTAAACCGAGCCGTTGCCTGTTGATCTACCCGCGGGGTTGAAACTGCAATCAGGGCCAAATATTATCATTATTATTCCTGCGTTTAAGCGACAAGACAACCGACGGGATGCAAGAGATGTCGATATCAGCCGCTCTCCGAAGTTTCTGCTCTCGTAACCTCTAAACTGGGCTCTGACGGCCTCTTTTTTACTCGTTTTTTGAACGTATATCCATACTTTGACACATAAAACCGCCAAAAGACTCCTCGGTCATTTTTCAGGGAGGGCATCCTCATATCCGGCCTCGATCTCCGCATTTCAAAGACGACTTAGGCCTTGACTATATCGATTTCTGGCCGACCGAGAAGGGGTCGTTATCCGGGGCTGGAGGAGGATTGTATATGGACAAAAGCCCATCGAGACACGGCAGTATCGAACACCATGGATCCTGCTGAGAAGCCCCAAAACTCGCTTCCAAGCTATCATGAATACCACACAGAGCCCACGATGATGAGTACAGACTATCCGCCCACAGAACGAACCATGGTCGAAGCGATGGTGGAGGAGCCAACTTTTGACACAGAGCAGCGCGCTCGCAAGGGATTCAGTGTCTGGTATATAAGAACCCGCTCTCTTGATCCATGACGAACGCGGCGGCCGTTGATATGAGTTATGGCTGTCGTTGTTGGTGACGAAGACGATGATGTTGATGGTGTCGTTGTTTGTTGGACGTTTGGACATTGGACGTTGGCTGACATCAAGTTCTCTCTTTGTATAGGCGAGTGCTGGGCGAGAGACAGATCAACGTAAGTCTTCCACCTCCTCTCCCCCATCCATCAAGATACCACAGGAGATTTTCGTTTGATTCCCATTTGATGGAGTAATGGAGGTGGCTAACATGCGTTATACTATAGATGATTGCGTTCTCAGGGTAGGCCTACCTACTACGTCCTGTTATAAATTGTCGACCTCTTACTGACATGCAACTTTGCTGCCATTAGAACAATAGGAAATGGTAAGTCGACTCTCAGACACGTCTTATATGCCGTCACCTCGCTCTAACTCTGGTTATAGGTCTCTTTCTCGGGAGTGGAAGATCTCTAGCTGGTGCTGGCCCTGGAGGTGCTGTGCTTTGCTATCTACTGATGGCTACCGTTATATCATCTGTCATCTCATGTCTAGGCGAGATGACTGCTCTCATGCCTGTTAATGCACCGGTCATGGAGTTTCCCCGGCGTTTCGTTGATCGAGGTGTTGGATTTGCCGTTGGTTGGGTATACTGGTTAGACACCCCTTATAACTATTCTTCTATCATGGCCAGAATAACTTGCTGATATATATTGGCCCACAGGTTTGCCTACGCTGTACTTGCTGCAGATCAACTTGTTGCAGTGACTAATTCCGTCAGATTTCGATATGATGATGGGAAGACTTTCTTACACTGGGAAACTGGTGAAAACGTACACCCTGCGGTGTGGATATCACTGTTTTTATTCCTCGTTACGATGATAAATATGCTTCCTGTGAAGGTCTGGGCAACCATGATATCCTATTTTACCATCGTCGCTCTATTACTGACGGGCCTGATAGTATTATGGCGAGTTGGAGTATTTATTCGGCAGTATAAAACTTAGCTTCATCACCATGATCATCGTCATGATGGTTGTTCTGGATACTATGCAACGTTAGTCAAACCACATACTTCCTCACTTATGCATCATCTTTCCTAACATTTAGCTACAGCTCGATCAAACGCGTACTACAAAGACCCGGTGGGGACTAAATACTGGGACCAGCCGTTTTCATTCATCTGTCGGGATTACAAAGTACGAGGAGAGGACAACGCCGTCCAGATGGAGATCAAGGGAACCATGGGTTCGTTCCTGGGGATGTGGTAGGTTTTACCTCTATGATTCTGTTCAAAAATTTCCTGATATCTAACATCTAGTTAGGACTACTATCATTAATGTGATATTCTCCTACGTGGGAATGGACATTGTCGCTGCTACAGCTGCAGAAAGCAAATCCCTTGCAGATTCTGAGAGCATGAAGATGGCGGCCCGAAAGATCAACCTCCGTGTCATAACGCTTTATACCCTCGCCATGCTTACCTCCTCCTTCCTAGTTCCACGAAATCATCCATTTTTGAACGGAAAGGCACAATCAGTCGGCAGCTCATCCGTTTTCCTTATCGCTGTCGTCGAAGCTGGCCTACCTGCCGTTGCCCACTTTTTCAACGCCATGTATGTTTTCTCAGCATTTACCTGCGCCATAAACTCGATGTACGTGGCATCAAGAGTACTACATACGTTGGCCTTGCGAGAACAAACCGGCCCAAGATGGCTTACTCGAAGGCTACAAGAATGCCATCTGGGTGTACCCCTGAGAACTGTTTTTGCAACAGCTGGTCTGATGATGATTGCATATATGGGGCCTACTGGTGGTACTGGTCAGGTCAGTAATTCCCTATGGGTAAACTTCATTTTCCGCTTGGTAGGTTTATGCTAATATAAACTATTCATATAGAGACTAGGAGAGCTTGCAACAAACTGCACGGTTTCATGTTTGATCGTATATACTGCAATCTGCGGGACGTATCTATGCTTTTATAGAACGTAAGTACTTCCTGTTATATTTACCTCGAATGCCCTCATTGCTCAAAACTATGTACTAATTTGCGTATTTCTAGGCTTGATGAAGCAAAAACCCTTGGGAACACTTCCCAGGCGCAGTCTGGTTGCTACGAGCGAGACCACCCGCGCTACCCATACAAGTCTCACGGCCAATGGCTTAAAGGAGCATATGGGCTATTTTCTTGCCTCATCCTTATTATCTTCAACGGAGTAGGGGCCTTCCTGGAAACTCCATTCAACGTCAGGCATTTCCTTGCCGCATATATCGGAGTACCCGTGTTTTTCCTTCTAGTTATCGGCTATAAATTCAAAAAACACGGATTCCACTTCTCGAGATGGGGTCCTGAACGCTCGAACGATCTTCAAAACACCGTCCAGGTCACAAGCAAGACCAGAAAGGGACGGTTGGAATTCCCAGACGATGGTTTTACTGCAGAGAACGGAAAAACATTCGTGAAATGGATATGGGCATGGATGAAATGATTGACCGTCTCGTATATCTCAAGGGCGAGACGATTGGAATGATACCAACATTACAAATTCTTTCCTTTTTTTTTTTTTTTTTTTTTATTTATTTATTTATTATTTTTATTTACTTTTTTTTTTTTTTTTTTTTCACTACATGATTGGCGTTTAACTTGAGCGGGAGTTTTGGGTACTACTGGGCCAATATACCATTCACACCGAAAAAGGGGAGGTTGTATACTAATTGATTTATTCCGCCGCGAAAATTTTCGCAAATCTGCGATATACTGATGAGCATTACATGCAGAAACCAAGATGCATCATGCGTTTTGTACATAGTTCGCCTTGTCTATACCTTGATACCATATATAGCAATTAACCAAATTATAAGCCAATCGGTCGATTTCTGACCCCAACTGGGTTGATATATCTACCCGAAATGCACCTCCTTGTTCATCAGGCTGAATGCTTATCATCTGCCAGTCATCCATCAAGTCTCGTAAACGAGGAACGGGTCGGATCTTCTGGCTTTTTCGTGCTTATGCATGAGGCTGATCTATATATATACGATTACCACGTTGTAGTGGATGTACACCGTGTTCATATCACGATGACTTATGTATATTCCCTGCAGCCCAATTCTCGGAAAAGCCATCGAGTATGCAAGATCTGGTCGTTTAGCGCTGCATATGCATGCACTATATGCAATATATATGGAGGCAGTGTCGCATTTTATATTATTAACTTAACTAGAAATCTATATTAAACTGAATAGGGTGCAATGAAAAGACAATAATAACAGAGATATACAGGAATAGTATATAAGCGTTAAATATAATCAACAATACTGACAGGCGAAGGAAGTATAAGATTACAAAAATATTTATCAAACAAGCGATAGATGACCGTGGCTCCGGATGCTCCAAGCGGAAGGGGAACGAGACTAAAGGAAATATAATAACGACAGAAGTGGGTTTATGGGTATAAATGGAATGCGCAGACACGAGCGCAGAGATATATATACTGCAAGAAAGCTCTTGTTCAATTACTATATCATGATTAGATACTAGACCACAACATGTCGTAGGGAGGAGTACTTACTATATTTCAAGGGGTGAGATTTGGTCAAGCGTATATAGCCAGTTACCTCCTTGTTCTTCGCGTTCCAGCCTATTAAATGGGCAAATTGTCAGTAAAGTGTAAAAAGCAACACTTAAGCTTGAATAAGTATGTCGGCTTACCATTCATACGGCCAAAGAACCAGGTGGCCTTGCACTGAGCCAAGCAATTCGGCTGCTTCATGCATATCCATAATATCATCTACGGCGTGGAACTCTTTTCTTGAACTACGGGTATTTGCCCTTCGCCTTCGCCGCTGTGACATGCCAATACTTGGGGCCGGCGCCTCAGACTGTGAAGACCTAGGTACCTCAACATTCTTCTCTGGCGCCACAGGAGTGTGAAAAGATTCCGCATTACGGCTGGAATTAGACGATCTTGCATCAGCATTGTTGAAGGCATGAGAATGAATATCAGCATGTGGCACGGACTTATCGACGTGGAGCTGTTCCTGATGTTGACGTTCGAGTTGTGCCTGATTGGCCTCTACCGCCCATTGGTGCAAATTTGCATGCAATTCCTTATCCTTTTCGGAGGATTGATGGGTTCCAAATTTCTCCTTCACCTCCTCGAGAGCACTTCCAAGCTCGGTTCCCAACTTTCCGCCATTTGGCGAGCCGTTATTTGCTCCAGAAGGACCGTTACGAGGGCAAGACTGACTTCCGGCTGAGGCATTGCAATGGTTTTGCATGTCAGCAAATCTTTCCGCATATGCCGTATATTCCTTGTAATCCTTCCACGTTTTAACTTCGCTATCTGGCATGCAGCGGAATACGCTCCGGAAGAGCTTGGTGTTGTTCTCTGCAATGGCTTGCCAAGTGTCCAAATAAAACGAGTTGAGGAGCGGATCTTTCATACAATCCTTGTCGAGAATTGGTCGTCTCGGTTCGTCCAAAAGGAAATGCGAGGTATTCTTCGGCTGTGTGGCGTCAAGAGAGAAGTGCTGTATATGATCATCGGTAGCGTTGGCTGCAGCAGATCGATTTTGCCCTGTCATTCGGGGGCTGGATGTCGAAACACTCCTTGGGTGGGTCTCTGGCGTACCTGGGGCAGTTGGTTGTTTAGTGTTGGCCATTGAGCCTGCTACGTCAGATGCATTGTCGCATGGCATTGTGGATGGGGTCGTGTTATTCTTGACTCTGCCTGTAACCAAAACTTCGACACTGTTCTTGAGGACGGTATCGCGACCGGTAGTGCCAACGATCTCTCCGTTACGTTTCATCTGATCGACTCCATGACCTTCTAAGTCTTTTCGGTGGTCCTCATTTCTTGTCACTCTGGCGTCTGCGGTAAGCTTCCTGTTTGATTTGAGATTTGGATTGCCTGCTTGCTCCCAATCCACGTCATGATTAAAACTGTGCATTTCTTCAAATCGGGCCAGGAACTCCTCCTGAACTTTCTGCTTTCTCTCTAAATCATCTTTCTCAGCCTGATTTTCGCCATCAGCAGGGCCGTGTTCAGGCTGACTTGCAACATCGGGCAGGTGTTCGGGAGTCCTGTCTATATTCGTTGTTTCAAATGCAGAGGTATATTCTTCAACAATCTCATCAACGTCAAAGCCAAGATGCTCCCTCATCAGACGCATTCGAAGGGTATGCGGGAACCGTCCAACCAGATATGGCTTGCCATTCATCCTAGACTCGAGGAGGTCAGTGTCCCGAACGACAGCAGCACACTCCGAGTCTCTCGAGCCAAGCATGGAACGTTCATTAATGTTGGCAGATCCAATGATAGCAACCCGGTCATCAACAATCATGCATTTTGCATGTATGTATAATTGCTCTGTGACAAGGTTTTTCTTTGGACCAATTCTTCCCCATGATCGTAAACTGAAGAACTGGATGTAATCTTCGGGCTCGATACCACGAGCACGCAGACGACCAAAGATTGAGGACTCTCCACGACAAATGCTCCTATATTGGCATTGCATAATCAGTCTCACGCTAGTTCCGCCTTCAGTATCCACAGTGTTCTGGAAACCGGGCATAAGGGGTATCAGTATAACTGCACGCCATGCTTCTTCATTGTCGGCAGCGCGAATGATTCTCTCGACCAATGCATCGCCAATATGGTTCTCTATTTTCTTTCCCTCGATTTCACAGCTGCTAATGAAGAATTGGTTTTCGATGTAGACGAAATGATCAGACTTTTCAATCATCTTGACGTAGGCATTCATGATGCTGCACTCAACAACATCGGGGGTGCCGGTGGACCACATGCTGCTTGAACGGACAATTTGGATCTCACAAGTTCCGTCTAGGCCCAGAGCTTCAAGGTCGGCAGGGTTGAAGTCCGGTGGAGGTAAAAGGAATGGAGTTGGCCTTGTAGGTTTACGTTGGCGAAGAATGTAGTTCCACCTTTGAACAAAGTGACGGGTAAGATCTCTAGCAGGCTGCCCTACAACATGCATGGATATATCGTGCCATGCCATGCGTGGAACCACTTCACGGTCATACATCTCTTCGTAGGGCTTATCCAGGTCATAGAAATCAAGGACCCTTGGGTTTGAGTAATCTTTACCCGGCCATAGCTGGCAATGATCCGCATCTTTGGGGGCGTCGGTCATCTCGAAGCCTGTAAGTTTATCATCTGTAATTAGATGTTGGGGGGTATCCCATCGACCAAAGCAAAGATCAATGCCACCAACGAATGCCAGAGTATGATCAACAATGCAAATCTTCTCGTGGTGAGCCCAGAAGAATGTGTTCTGCCTAAACTGGTTTGGAGAACGCTGCACAAAGACGTTGGGATGTAGATCCAGGAGCGAGAATTTGGAATACTCCGAGTCAATGGGAATAGCAGAGTTGATATTGCGGTACATTATAACAAAGATCTTCACACCCTCTTGCGCTTTTCGTTGGAGCAAACGGTCGAGGCGCCATTTCTGACTGATGGCAGCTGGGCGACGCATGTAGAGTTCAGGACTTAGCCACCAGTCATGGATGTAGATGACATCCTTTGCCTGGTTAATTGCTCGTGAGACTACCCACATGTAATCCCTCCCGTCAACTAGCCATTGTGCAAAGCAATTTGGTCGCACTGGGGCAAAGCTCTCAAACCGGTTAGGCTTAGCCCAAGGGGTAGTTTCAAGCACTAAACGAATAGAGTCCTCAAACTGACGAAGCTGGCGGTCGTTCCTCGCAAGTAGCCTCATCCTGCGTTCAGAATTCTGTATTTTCAGGGTATGATGTTGTGGATGCTTTGCGGACTCCTTTAGCTCCTTTGGATTCTGATCCCTGAGACGGACTTTCTGGGCCTGGATCTGAAAATAGGGGTCAATAAGGAAGACATCGTATATATGCATCTCCTCTGGAGAATCAACGCAGACAATGTAACTGTGCCGAACCAAGAACCACTTCGGAGAGTGGCGCGACTTCACCATGGACGGATTTAGGGCTTTTCTGAAATCAAGGCCCTTGGAAGACTGGATAACCAAATATCCTTCTTTACCATGATAACTTCCTTCAGCTGCCAGGCGTACACCAAGCGCGGAGAGTTCGAGGAATTTGCAGAGACGGTTGCTATCCGGTCGAAAAATAAGGAAGCGTATCATCTTTTGTAGGTATGATTCAAGTTTCTTTCTCTGTTTTTCAGGATAGGTCTCCCTTTTGCTCGCTGTGCCATTATCAACAGCCCTGTCCGAGTTGGCCGGGGCGTCGAGTCGTGAGGCCAAACTGGACCTTCGTCTGGAGAGGGCAATGGAGGATCTTCGTTTCTTCTTTCTTGATCGTTCATTCCCACTGGTGGCATCCGCAGCAGTGTCTTCTGCGGCTTCATCCTCCTCGTCTTCCATATCACTTTCAAGGCCACGGACACCCCGCATGTATGGAAAGGCGCTCTTTGGAAAGCGTGGCAGCTGGTTTCCAGAGTCGTGGCTTCGTAACTGGATATACCTCTGCGTACCAATCTGCAGCTTGTATTTCAGATGTAGATTGGCAAAGTCCTTGAGTGTCCGATGAATAACCCACTTCATGCGAGTCATTCCGCTACCATACTCAAGCTCTATGCGGAATACAAGATGACGGTCGCCAGAGGAGTGCGAATCGAATTCGCTATCAGTGACATGGACTTTAAGCTGTTCAAGGAGGATAGGAATGCGCCGACTTCCGTGTTCATCTCGTTGGAACATACTAGCTAAGAGTAAAGCAGCGGGTACACCCGAGGTCAACTCAGCAAGCAATTCGGCAGACTTGACATGGTCGACAGTATTTTCCTGCTTCTTGCGCTGGCCGATCAGCTTGAAGCCAGCTTTAATCTGTTTCCATTTCTGGGCACTGAGGCTCGAGCCACGCTCAGCTTTATGTCTGCGCCAGGCTCCACTAATACCGTCTGCATGCTCAGAAGTGCCACCGAACCCTGTGAACCGTCGTAGATTTGTTGGGCGTCTCTCATCCTGAGATGCATGTCCATCAGCCCGTTGTCCGGTAATGCTTCTTCCACGGGAACCCTGTAGCCAATTGCTTCTTCTACGCCACATATTATCCCGATTCAGTCTGTCTCTTCCCTCATCTTCAGAGACGCCCTCTCGTAAACGATGAATGGGAGGGGTCAATGGAGCATTGGCGGATTGAGGGTCATCATAAGGCTTGACCGAGTTTGCGACTGATAGGGCTGATTTTGGAGTTGATGGCGTAGTATGAGAGAGATCAAGCGGGGGTCTCTTTGTCTTGCGTTTCTTCCTCTTCACCTGTACACGAAAACCTGCTTCAGAGCTAGACTCGACATCCGCGTCTGCGTCACTCCCTCCGCCGGCATCCTCTGGTCGGGGAAATCGGAATTCTGCCAGATCAGAGAGTGGTCCTGCGCCATCAGACAATGTTCTATCGTGACTTGGCGCTACAGGAGAAGCCGGGCCTGCTGAGCGGGAGGTTGAAGGGGCGAGAGCTCGGAGCTTGGACATGAATTGAAAATGCCCACGTTTGGGAGCTATCTCTTCATCCGCTGCGGACTCTGAAGGTGGCCGGGAGTATGACTGTCCTTGTCCTGGTGCTTCGTTATCACCATCGCCACGGGTAAACTGTATACTTCTGCGAGCTATAGGTGTCGATGTTCCGGTTGCGGGTTGGGAACTAGGCTCAGCAAGTCCCTAAGGGTTTTATGGGCAATTATTAGCTTAGTTATATCACTGAAAAAGTAATCCAAGAGTATGCAAAGAAAAATAGCTGCCCAGGGTTTCTGCGTTATGAAACACTAACAGTATGAGCATGCTCAACCATGGGCAAGGGTTCAGTGCCTCTGCTGCCTTTTCCATCAGTTATGTCTTTGGGGTTCAAGGTCTGTCCCTCGCGGACTCCTTTCCTGCCATCGTCGTCCATCTTGTGTGATAATTGGCGCCGTGTATAACGACAATCAGTGGGGAGTTTGCTTATACTGGTAAGGGGCACAATAACAAAAAATCCGGGGTTGCGTGATTCAAAAATGTGGGCGCGATTGCTTCTTAATGAGCCCAGCAGGAGTGTAACCTGCAGCTCACTCCCCGCAACTGTGATATATCACCATCTATCAGCACTTCGTCTCTCCAAGACGCGAAATCGTCGTTGTAGTTTCTCGCAAGCTCGAGGGAGGTCCAAACCTACCACTGTATCATCTCGGAAGCCGTGCTGTGTCCTCAAGAGCCTTTAACGATGCTTCTGACGGAGCACAAACAGCGGCAATATCTCTCCTCTCTGTCCTCGTCTGCTTGTTTCTTCTAGATGTTGTTTCGTCTTCCGCCTTGTCTTCTGCCTCGTCGTCCTCGTCGTCCTCCTTGAGCCCCTGGAGTTGCCCTCTTCATCTCGGGCCAATCAGGTGAGAGCATCGCGGCATGGATGAGTAAGCATATGAGATCACGTGGACCATGCCTTGGCGCTGCTTCTACAGTGAAGATTGCGTTCTGCAAACGTACATATTTCAATCTATCTAACTGCTAAATACACGAGAGATGAATATTTCTATAGATGCTAATGTAATACGTCTCCGAATTTTATCTTGGAACCGATTGTCGAACCGATTTCGCTGTCACTAATATTTCTCGCGGAGGTAGCTGACTAAGCTGGAGCTTAACTACGCTGCCTCGGCAAAAGTTAAAGATATAAAAAGCAAAATGCTGGAGACAACGAGGCAGAAGACAAGATGAAACCGAGGGGCAGTTGAAGAGACGTATAGACAAGGTTCTCGCAGTGGCACAGAAGAGGAGCCAAAGGAGAATAGAAAGCTTTGGCTTTCTTTGTCTGTTTATTTAATCGTTAAAGAAAGAAAGCTGATATTCAATATGGCTAACCCGATGGTACCAAGCGACTCTACGCCGCCGCCCCAGATATCCAAGAAAGATATACCTGTCTCAGGGCTTATTTGTTCAGTCTATGGGCTTGAAGAAATACCCTCGCTGGCAACGGAGGTGTCCTGCCTATACCTATTGCACCCGCGCTCGAATACCCGCGAGTCAATGGAATGGGCAGCAATCGGAGCAGTGGCTGAGTGGAACAGACGCCTAGCAAGCAAGCAGGTTTCTCCCAACGAGCAAAATAAGGGCTTAGTAGCTGTATCCTTTGATCAGCGGAACCACGGTTCGAGAGAGGTGGACAGGCTGTGCAACGAGTCATGGAGAGGCGGGAACCCCAACCATGCTCAAGATATGTTTGCTATCTTCAGTGAGTTCGCCTGCCGGTTGCATTCCTCCAGGGGGGAAAGTGGAGGATACGATCGCGGCTAATTCGGCATAGATGGCACCACGAGGGACGTGTCTACCCTGATTGACTACATGGGATGCTATCTCTTCCCCAAGTCTGAGCGAAAGATAACTAACAACCTCGTGCTGGGTGCTTCCCTTGGTGGACATGCCGCATGGGGTTGTATTCTACACGAGCCTCGCATCACCAGTGCTACCATAATCGTTGGATGCCCAGATTATATCAACCTGATGACTGACCGGGCAGAACGTTCAAAATTGGCTACTTGGGCAAGCAGCAGTCCTGCAGGTTTTCACTTTCTAGGCTCTGAGTCTTTCCCTCAACCATTGGTAGATACGTTGAAAAACTGGGATCCCACGAGCTTCTTTCTCAGTCACATAAGTGAATACCCGCCCAAGGAGCCAAAACGCAACGGGCCTATTCCCGATCCCACGGAAGAGGAGAAGAATATCCTTCGGCCAGTGGTGAAGCGATGTCTGGCAGGAAAAAAGATATTGGTTCTCTCTGGGGGTGCGGACAAGCTAGTTCCTTATGCGCGTGGGGAACCGTTCTTGACTTGGTTGAAAAAGGCAATTGGGCCGGAAGGATGGTGCGCAGAGGGTAAGATATCCCTGGAGGATATCATCTTTGAGGGAGTGGGACACCAAGTCACATCTGCTATGAGAGATGAAGCCGTCAGGTTTATCGGTGACTGTCTAGCTGCAGGGCAAGATAGTTCGAAATCTGCCGTGGTTAGAACCTCCAAGATGTAGACCCATCTAGATATACTTTTACAATATAAATGACCAGAAATAACTCTTTGAAATATAGGAAAAGGATTCTATTCCACCTATGTAGTATATGGGATAGAACCTAATTTCATACCTGCGAGAGACGGGGGAAGGATATTCACCACCCGTCAAACCCAGACCTTAAACCGCCACAGTTTTTTTTTCGATCTTGGTCATTAAAATTGATGTTGCTTTCTTTTTAGTAAGATCACTTCCACTGCACTGCATCACGCCGTTCCTGATTCCCTTATCCCATGCTACTGACGCAAAAAGAAAAAGAGCAAAAGTTACGCAACGGGCGATCGATCAGTGAGGTTTCTCCTCTCGCGCCAGAGAAAAAAACACCGTAAAACCCACAAGGGGCTCCATCTCCTCCATCCAACAGCAAGCGTACAGACAGATGTTGGCAGCGAATCATCGATCGTTTCAAACAGGGCATTTACGCAACCAACTCAACAACACCGCCGGCCTCCTTGATCTTTCTCTCAGCCTCCTTGCTGAAGTATCGTGCTCGTACAACCATTGGGATCTCTGGGAGGCGGCCCTTTCCGAGGACCTTGGAGTAGCCAAGTGGGAGGAGGTCGAGGACTGGGGCGGTGTCGGGCTTCTTGTTGCTCATGTAGGCATCACGGGTTTCGGAGGGGACGAGAGACCATAGCTACCACACAATTAGCATTGACCGTTTTTCTCCTAGTATATTTCTCCATTCCGATATGTTTTCCCTCGCGCATTGCATCTTTCTCATAGGACAATTGTAGGCCGTACCTTGTCGAGGTTGATGACTGGTCTCCAGAACTGGTTCTGCGTCTTGTGGAAGTATCGCATACCAACTTTACCGAAGTAACCGGGATGGTACTTGTCGAGGTTGGTTCTGTGGTGGTGCTGACCACCAGCCATACCACGACCTCCGGGGTGCTTGCGGTGCTTTCCTATGCGACCGTAACCAGCAGAGACATGGCCACGGCTGTAAAATTCATCATCAATCAGCCCAAAACTGCTCAACACTTCCTCTAGGCGCATCGAGCACCTCACAGCGGCGGCACAGAGGGGAGGCACTCACTGCTTTCTCGTCTTCGTGAGTCTGGTAGGCATCTTGTCGGAGGCGCGCTGGTCGACAAGAGGTTGTGGTCGGTCGATGAGGAAAAGATGAAGTTCAACCGCTCGTTTCGCTTTCTTCGACTTGCAAAAAGTTTCCCTTCTTGGCTGTGGTGTCGCTTAGGGTTAGCCCTAGTCACGTTATCTAAAATTGTTAGTCATACATTTGTAATACAGTCGTGACTAATCACGACAAGAGCAACGAGTGAAACGCGATCTAGAGCATTATGAACAAGACTTGTATGTCTAATGGCTATGGCAATGGATGATCTATGGCTTTGACTGGAAGAAGTGCTGGAGTTGGCCGTGGACATCGCCCTGGTGACTCTTGAGAAGGCTACCCCTGATCCAACGAGGCAGTTTCCCCTGAATCCTCTCCGTCTGATACCTCCTGTCTATCATCAAAATAGCGGCATAGTCCCCCTTATGTCGTATGGCACGTCCAATACACTGATTCACTGTACGCATACATGTGTTTTCATAGTACGCTCTACTTGCTGCCTTGCCACAAGCTCGTCGCTCATCCTCTGACCGGCTGGAGTCAGCAAGTTCATATGCCTTCTTTTCGACATGCTGCAGCTTAGCCTGCCAGATGACGTTGCGGGTGTTGGGGAAGGGAAGGCCGACCACGATGACGCCACGACCCAGGGCATCTGAGAAGTTGATGCCCTCTGATAGTTTCCCTCCCATCACGGAGAGCAGGAGGCCGCCTTTCCCTGCGTCGACGAAAGCGGAGTATTGGGAGAGGAGAGAGTCAGTGTTGGTGTTAGCGTTGGCGCTGTCCTTGGTAGTACCTGTCGACTGGGGCTCATGAAAGATGGGCTTAAGACGGGAGAGGCTGTTGAGGATTCCAGAGCTAGAGGCCCATACTTTCAGCACAGTTGCTAAGTAGTCGTAGCTGGGGAAGAAGACCACGACGCCGTCAGGGATGACGGAACAGTATCTGGCTATTGTCCGGCCCAGGCTAATGATCTACATCCACTTGTTAGATAAAACTAAGCTTGGGGGTTTAATGCAGAAAGACGTACCATCTTCTCAGACCTGCGCTGATCAAAAGTAAAGTTGAATTCTGTTCCGTCCATCCCTCTGTCAATCGGGATAGCCATCAGGTTGTCCTTTGGTATGACATGGCCATAAGTAAACGTTTTTATCTTCTCTCGCGGGACATATGAGAGCAAGTGATTGACGTAGTCATCCATCTATCTTGAAGTCAGGATCGATCATTTTCAGGGACGACAAGGGTACGTACTGGCTCCATGGTTCCTCCAGCAAGTATAACTGCTCTTGCATCTTCGACAAGCTCCTTGAATCGGCTAGTAGGATCAAGTAAGAGGTATTTCATCTGTACATCACCGCCAACTTTCTCGTAGAACAGGCGTCCTTCATCCGAAGGGTCCATGAGCGGAAGGAGGAAGCTTTGCACATGAAATAACACAGGCATACCGCCGTCTGCCTTCTTGCCACCTCCATCATCACCATTGGCCTGAGTGGCTGTATGTTCAATGTATCCATCTACCTTTCTAGCAAGCTTGCTTTCTCTCAGGTACATGCCTAGTTTATGCGGGTTGATCATATCCACACCTCCCTTTCCCTTTCCACCACCAAGGATATCCTGCACCGTTAGCTCTGCATCCGGTCTGTCATCCTGCCCAGCAGCATCCAAGAATGAGACCATACATCCAACCAGCCTGATAAGCTGGGCAATGTATTCTCGATTTCTGCCCTTTAGGCGAGACTTGAACCGTCTAGCGTACGTGGTAATCTGAGCCAGGGCTGTCCTCAGCTGCGATAGTGAGACGGTGACAGAGTGAATATTGACAATTGCATCAACGAGGTTATGTGCTTCGTCGATAACGATGACACTATTCTTGGCTGAGAGGTTGAGTGCTTCGCGGGCTGACTGTTGTAATAGTAGGGGGTAGGGCAGTGTGACTACTTCTGTGGCAGAAGCTCTCATGGCCGTACGAGATGCGTAGTACGGGCATATGGCCATCTTGGTGCCTAGGGGCGGTAGGCCTTCAATATCGTTAACTCGAGCGAGTAAATGGTCCTGGAACTGAGAGGTCTTGAGCTCATTATCCTTGGTAGGGAGATAGGGGCACTTGTGCTCTGCAGCTACATTGGGGCGTTGTATCTCCAGACACCGTTCATTGATGGCCGTGGCAGAAGACAGAGACCGGACGAAAGGGTTAATGCAGAGAGTTTTCCTAGATGCGAGGGGAGTATGCTTTATCCATTCTCCTTCATCCTGTGGGTTTCCTTTCTTCTCTTCTCTCAAGTTGTCGTCTAAATCTGGGGGTATACTGGATATGGGTATGACTCGGCGCATCTCCTGCGCGAATTGGATCAGCTGTGAATGCGTTCGAGAGCAGTATATGATCTTGACGCTTTCTTCGTCCTCCTCCAGCTCTATCCGCTGGGCAGCGCCTTTGAGCTTCTCAAGAAGGGCCAATGTGTCGGAAGATAAGGGGTTGCCATCATCCTGCGGCCGTCCAGCCTTTTCATCTCCACTTTCATAATCGTCTAATTCAAAGTCTTCATCCTTGGTCTCTGGACGGACTTTTTCATTAACAACTCGCTAGTCAGTCATTTTGGTGTCAGTATGGTCCAGTTTCGTCAAAGTATATAAAGGCACCGTGTGAATGTATCAAGTACCATCTTTTTGGTCAAGCGAGAAGCAAGCTCCAGCTTCTTCCTATGCCTCTCCTCTGCTTCCCTGACTCTGGCCAGACGCTCTTCCAGCTCCTTTCGGCGAGCAAGCATCTCCTGCGTCCTCTCTCGTCGAGCGTGCTGCACCATCCAGTCCGGCTCCCCGTCGTCCCCATCTACCAAGTCAGCAAATACATCAACATGTAGCCATGACCTGGATATTACCAGTACATGACCAGTAGAGTAACAGTGACACACCGTCATCAGCCTTCTCGAGAAAGGCGGAACGCTTATGGTCCCTCAGCCATGCCAGCGAGCCACATATCAGGCTCAGCGATTTGCCCTATCCGCGTCAGATAGACACTGGTATCATGCATCATCCTTTCAGGTACACAACAGACATACCGTCCCTACAGCCCGTCAGCAGTGAACAAACGGCTGTCCCGGGTGCGGAATTCACCTGTAGGGCTCTCGAAGATGCCTACGCCGCCGTCCTCGATGCAGCCATAAAGCGCCTCCATGAACTGCGCCTGGATATCGTACGGCGTGTACGGATGGCGGAAGTCCCTCTCCATCTCGCTGCCGACGCCCGAGAGACGTTAGACGTTTCTTCAGCTGTTCCTGTCCGTCTTTAGGCCATCCGAGCCGTCCCTTCTGGCCGTCCTATGCCGTATACCGATGTGATCTTCGCCCTGGTCCCCGTCGGTCAGTCAGCTATGCGGCTACTTCAACAGCAACGGGGGGGGTTCTCCATCTCAACGGCCGACTTGCTTCTGCTCTTTTGCTCCTTTTTGCTTCGTCTGCCAGCCAGCCAGCTAGTCTTCCCGTCTGCCCGTCGCTGCGAGCGTCGTCAACTGACTAAAAATAACCTGCTGAGGCAGTGCTCGTCCTTCGGCTCGCGGTCATTTGGTTGTTTAACTGGTTAGTTAGCCTGGTGGGAATATTTCAACCATCTACATAACTACAACCTCCCCGCCAACGTCAACATCAACATCAACATCCAACGACAGTCACTCTCGCAGTCAACTCACTATCAGCTAGCAACCCTTCTCCTGTATCTTCGTCTTTATCCAGGACTCTCGCCTGTTACAAGCTGCTCGCAAGTGCTACAGGCTCCAGCTAGCCCTGCAAAAACCCCTTACTCCGGCCTCCACTTTGCCCCATCTACCAACCTTTAACAACTCCTTAGCTACGCCGGCCAAAAACGCCTCTACCAACTTCCTTCTACAGCCTCCGTTGACGGCTAACACTTACTTTGACCGTCTCCTTCAGCTCTCGAACACGACAGACAGCCAGCTGAACGTCCGCTCCCTTATGCGCCGTGCCCCAAGCCCGCCGTCCAGGGCCCCGGCCAGCACCCTCAGCGTCCGCATCCTAGTCCGAGCCAGCAGCGGCGGCGCCCTCGAACACGAGTAGCGCCTTTTTCTCTCCTTTCTTTTCTTCTTCTTCCTCCGTCTGCGTGTCTATCCTATCATCTCGCGCCGTCTGGGTTGGGAGGGTTATTTAAATAGAAATACACTTATCCATGGCTGCTCCGTACGACTCGTCTCGCCCGCCGCGCTTGGGAGCGACTTTCTATCCAGGCGCCGTCGACGACTACCAGATGCCGGAAGTTATCTCGCCTGCTCCCCAGAGGTATTTATAGAGGGCCTTTCTTTCGTTTCTTTTTCAGCTATCACCTTGCATTGCTTATTATTATAATAACAACTAGCTGGCCCTTTTGTTCCTCTCGTTCGACTTGTCAGCCCCCCCAGGAGCGCTGCCCGCTAACAGTTGCCCATTTTAGGGTCATGCCCGAAGTCCCTGAGAACATGCAAGATAATCTCGCGCACTTCGAGCTCGACGCCTCGTCCTCCTCCAACTTGCGCCCTCACCAGCAGCAGCAGCAGCAACAGCATTATCCAAGTCGTGGCTCCTCGATGCATAACCAAGGAGCGCCAGGCTTCTCTGCGCCAGGCTCTCCATCATATCCCCCGCAGCGCCAGGCACCACCACCGCAGCAGCAGTACGGCGGTGGTAGTGGCGGCGGCTACGATGCTCCAAACTTCTCCCCTTTTCCGCCGCTCGTGAATCCGCCGCCAAATGTGCCTCCAACGGACGAGGAGCGCGAGGCCAACCTCGAACAGGGCCGTATGGCAGTCCTCGGCTCCAACGATGCGGAAATGCAGCTTGCCTGGGCGCAGGATGCCCTCTCCTACGTCGAGGTAGCCATGCAGAACGAACTGCGCAACCAGGTAGCCTACCCGCCGCGGCCGCAGACACCGCAGATCGAACACCAGCTCAAGACAGATGCCATTAATATTGTTTCTTTCCTGGCCGAGCAAATGCATCCGCGGGCCATGTTCATTCAGGGCATGTGGCTCGAGTTTGGCAAGTTTGGCTTCCGCGTCGACAAGAAGGAGGCTTTCCGGTGCTACTCCCGCGCCGCAGAGGGCGGCTATGCACGCGCTGAGTACCGCATGGGAATGCAGTTTGAAAGTTCAAACGAGCCGCTCAAGGCTATCAAGCACTACGAGAATGGTGTCAGGCTGGGCGACTCTGCTTCATACTACGTACGTTTTACCCCGCTATCCTTATGCTGTTACAATAACCATTGACTGATAGAATTATAGCGTCTTGGTATGATGATATTGCTAGGACAGCATGGTCAACGACAAGACTACACAGTAGGACTCGACCATATACGCTATGCTGCACAGACCTGCGACGAGAACGCTCCTCAAGGCGCCTATGTATGTGTTACTCTCCGTTCACTATGACCCTACAAACATCTAACTAACAATACTAGGTCTATGGAATGCTGCTAGCTCGAGAACTGCCTCAGGTCACTATTCCCGATGAGTATCTCGCTCATGACCTCGTCAACGCCCGTATCAACATTGAAAAGGCTGCCTATCACGGCTTTGCTAAGGCACAAGTCAAGATGGGCTCCGCGTACGAACTTTGCCAGCTAGATTGTGACTTCAATCCGGCACTGTCGATTCATTACAATGCCCTTGCTGCTCGACAGGGTGAGCCCGATGCTGAGATGGCTATCAGCAAATGGTTCCTGTGCGGTCACGAAGGCGTCTTCGAGAAGAACGACGAACTCGCCTTTACATATGCCAAGAGAGCAGCTCAGTCGGGCCTGTCTACTGCCGAGTTTGCACTAGGCTACTTCTACGAGATTGGTATCTACGTTCCTGTAGATATCAAGGAAGCCCGAAGCTGGTACGCCAAGGCAGCTGCCAATGGAAACAAGGACGCTTCAGGACGAATTGAAAGCATCTCACGCTCCAAAACACTCTCCCGCAAGGATCATGAAAAAGTGGCCATTCAGCGCATCAAAACACAACGCACTCAGCAGCGCTTCTCCCAACAATCTAATCATCTCCAGCAAGGCCAACCCGTCCAAGACACCCTTGAGATGCCTGATCCATCTCGCATGAGCCTCAATGATTCTGCCCGTCCCATGTCAGCGGCTCCGTACCCTGACGGACCCCCCTCAGGACGCTATGGGCCAGGTCGGCCAGGTCCAGGACCAAACTCACACTCTTACGGGCCAGGGCCGGGCGATCAACGCAGCTCTTCCGCTTTCGGTATCAATCCCAATCTCCGTGCACACTCAGTTGGCCCGCCAATGGGACCACACGGATATCCACCACATGGTCGTCCACCAATGGGTCCTGGTCCCGGCCCAGGAGGTCCCGGAGGTCCTGGTATGGGACCAGGTCCACCAAAGCTGGACATCGGCTTCTCTGCTCCTCCAGACCCGTCCGGTGCAGATAGAAGGAGGAAGCCACAGCGTCCTCCTGGTGCACCTGGACCAGGACCAGGACCCGGCCCTGGTGGAAACCGTATGCCTTCCGCTCCTCCATCAGGAAGGCCACACGGCGGGCCACCTGGTGGCCGACCTGGTACCGCAGCTGGCCCGGGTCCAGGGCCAGGACCAGGCCCAGGACCTGCTCCGCAACCACCAAAGCAATCTGCCACTGCACCTCCTGCGCCTGGTAAAGGCAAAGGCCCAAAGACGTTCGAGGAGATGGGTGTGCCGCAGGGCAAGTCGGAGAGTGATTGCGTAAGTAGACCTTACTGCCTACACTATATGCTGATAATCAACCATAACACTAACAAACTTGCTAGGTCGTTATGTGATGTCATTCCTTACCATCGTCGGTCAAGGGCAAACGGGGAACAAAAAAAGGGGTGGGGAGAATGGTGTTCTCTATTTCATCTACTGCATGTCGTTGCAAAAGTCGATTTGCCACGTTGTTTCGTCTTCCTCTTTCTTCTATCTTGGTAAAACTTATTGATTAATTCTGGAGATTCTGGAGCCCCTTTTTCGCTTATTTCTTTCTTTTCTTATCCCCCACGTTATGCCCTTCGTGAAATTTATCTCTGTATGCATTACTTACATTATATAGCACTGTCTGCCTTCTGCATTACTTACATCCTCATCTTGCCTTACTCTATCTCGCATAGACTCCCGGGGCTCATTGCAAACGGTTACACATATCTGCCTTCTTCGCCTCTTATCTTGGGATCCCCGCCCTTCTTTTGCTTCTCTTGCTTTTGCCGTATTTCTATTCTGGCGTGTTTACCATTGATCTACTATCCAGCGTGTCTTGTCCTTCATTCGCCTTTTCTTCACCCTTTCTTTATGGTCCTACTTATATAGTTATCATTATGTTCTCAGCGGTCAACAAGATCAGATATACTTGATGTGTTGAATATAAGATGCTGCCACCTCCGTTCTTTCATGGTAACTGCCCGACCTGAGTATCTACAGCATATTATATGGCTCTAAGACTGTGGATTAAAGGATTGATATATTTTTCTATATAAGTATTTATACAAGTCCAGGCTGTAAACGGATGCGGTCAGCAGATTCTGCCGCCTGTTGTCCCAATCGGGAAATTCTCGACGTCTTTTCCTTGACGTCTTTTTCAACTTCGATTTCATCTTCAACTTCATCCTCGTCATCAGCAACAGAAGAAAACTAAGAAAACAGCTGAGATCAGTGAGATAGAATACTCACAGTTGACAGGAAGTAGATACGATGGCTCCGAAGAAGGAAAAGACGGAGAAAGGCGAGAAGAGTGCCTCCAGTGAAGATGGTACGTATTTGATCCGGTATCAAGATGCAAAGCTATGGATTCAGCCAATTCTGATGAGATGGCCGTACTTCTCCGGCTGTTGGTATAGGCTCAGCCATGATTTTGAAGTATCTCAGTAAGTGTATGTACAATCTCCGTGCCATGGACACCAGAGTGCTAACTGTTGGCTAGAGCAGCAAAAGTATGAATGACACCGAGCTATAGCTGACAATCGGACTATATACTAACTGGCTTAATAGCCGGCCATACTCAGTTGGTCAACCTTTTCCCCCGGTTGAGTACCATAATACTAAACCATGAGTAGGCAATTGATATTAGTGCAAATTTGCACAATAAGGTGACTAAAGGTATCTAGAAAAAAAGAGGAAAAGACACACACGAACCAGATACTAACAATAGGCATAGCATATACGGTCAAAGCTTTAAAGGCTCTGCATGAGCAGAAGCTGCTCGAGTGCAGGGTCTCAGGTATAAATAGAACTGGGTATCTTGTTCGAGGCCTGAGCTGAGTGTAACGTAGGGAAACAGATGGTTTACCATGCAGTTCAAGAGGCTAGCAGCGAGGCAACGCTAGACGAACTTGCAGCCATGGACGACAGGATCACATCTCTGAAGGAGCAACTCGAATCTGTCAAAGTACAAGAAAAGTCTCTCAAAGCCGAGCTTGCCGTGCTAAACTCCCGTGTCTCAAGCACAGAGCTTCTCTCGCAAATCGGCCAGTTAGAGAGTAGAAAGGATACGCTGAGCGATCAACTTGCCCATCTCTGCAAGGAGACGGCTACGGACAGAATAGTAACAGAGGAAGAAAGCAACCGTGTCCAGATAAACTGGGCAACGTGGAAGAAGCACGCTTCTCTCCGAAAACTGGCGTGTCGAGAGCTGTGGTTAAAATGCACAGAAGTCCTGCCTGACAGCGTCAAAAGCAGGGAAGAACTCTGGGAGTCGTTCGGGATGGAAGGAGAGCTGTAACGCCGCGGTCCAATCGGGGATGCCCAAGCAGCATATGCCCGTCGTTGGGGGAGGAAGATCTGGGGAAAGAGTTAGTTATATGCGAGGACAACACGATAAATGCTAAAAATACACCCATTCGGTCTCTGCCATGCCACGAAACAATGACAATGAACAGCCGGCAGCATCTCAAGGGTTAGTTAAGTGATAGCTAGTGGGCGTGACGACACGATGGCGTCGGTATTACTTTCAGGTCAGCTGCAGCGAGGTCAGTCGCCGCAAGCTCAACGTAGCTTGCAGGTCATGAGCCTCCTCGTTTGAGTTGTATGTATGTACCTCTGAGTTCCAGTGTCATGATAGTTGACAATATATTTAGTTAGAACTGCCGCTCACCTGCCCTTCATTCACTCTCAAAAAGATATCCTCGACCTAGTTCGGCGACTAAGTCGGGCCTCCAGTGAATACATATATTGGCCGTTGAAATGAGATCGAAGTGAAACTTCCCGCCTGGTTTCCAGGGATACCTTTCGGCCTCCAAGGCTTGGAAAAGAGTGACTGCTGCGTGGCAGATCTTTGCTCGCCTGCCCATTCTCCTCTGCCAGCAAACAGCAAAGGCCACACTAAAATCTAAGCGCGAAACAACAAGAAGAAGGGCAGAGGAAAAAGCATCTTTAACAAGCTAAATCCCGAGTCTTTTTGCCCCCTCCGCACCACAATAATCCCTTCGATCCACGAACCCTAAATAAAAGACGCGGAAAAATCTGTTGGCTGTTCTCCTCCTGCGACCTTCTTTTCTACCTCGCAATGCAGAAACAGCCGCCGACGCAACCACGGCATCACCCACCACAGCATATAACACCGCTACACCCGCCACTGCAGCAGCAGATAGACTCGCGGAAGCTCAACAACACTGCCTCTGCTACTGCCAGAATGGCTGGAGGCGATCCGCGCAACAGAGCCCCGCTTCCTGTGCCGGGAGGTCATGGTCCTTTTCCGCAGAACGAAAACGGTGGCATGCGTCCGCCGTTTGATATGGCTCGCAGCCCACCAAATCCGCCCGCCAGCAAGAGTAGGTAGACATCTTTCGGACGAGCCGCTTCGAACGAGCCGCTTCGAACGAAACTGCAGCTAACTGACGTGAACGCGCAGATACTAAGCATGTCCCATGCAAGTTCTTCCGCCAGGGAACTTGTCAGGCCGGGCCGGCATGTCCGTTTCTGCATTCGACAGACAATACCATAGACTCCGCGCCGTGCAAATATTTTACGAAGGTGATTCTTGAACTGCTGGGGAAGCCCCTAGTTACTTGGACTTGGGAATATAACTGACAGTTCTGGCAATATCTAGGGAAACTGCAAATTCGGAGCAAAGTGTGCACTAGCTCACATCTTACCCGATGGTCGGAGAGTAAATAGGCCCAGCATGGGTCTTGGAGGAAATCTCAACCTAGGCGGAAGAGTTCATCCTCCTCCATACCATGCACAGGACTCAGCTTTGGCAAACTCACTCCTCTCTCAGCAGCAAATAAACGGACAAAATCCACGGTTCTCATATCCGTATCCCTCCCAAGATGATCTGCATCTCTTACCTCCGCATGCCCAGCAGCAAGTTCAGCAACAACAACAGCTACAGCAGCAACAGCAACAACAGTTTGGTCAGCAATATGACGGTTCGATCCCACATATTGACGCTGGGCTGGTATCTGATACCGGCTCCAAGTATGGCTCACCTCCAGAGGAGATCCGCCTCCCCATGTCTCCTATCGGTCGTACAGCTCTAGATGCTCCGCTGCCTGCTTCGTTCGACAGTCAAGGCATATCCCACATGGCTCGCTATGGCCCAGTCGCGGCATCGATGCCATCCAAGTTCGGACTTGACTTCGCTCACTCTCCATCCCTCTCTCACCGACCTAACGCCACACCCGACGTTCTCCGTAGCTTGCACGATACAGCATTCGGAACAGATAAGAAACCACTTGGGCTCGGCTCTTCACCACCAGTTGTTAGTGCAGAAGATACCTCCGGCTTCCGTGTCATGCATTCTCAGCGTGTACCCCGCCAGCGTATACTCTCCGCCAGTGTTCCCCGACCCACGGTTCTCGATGACTGGGAGGACAACTTCACTATGGAGGAAGACTATCTCCCCACGAATCTGCACGATGATGTACTCACACCTCAGGAACGCATGCGCCGTCTCTCTCGCACCGACCACGAATTATCAAGCAGCAGCAAGGATCCATCTGGCCTTGGAATAGGTATAGGCATCGGGATCGGAGGATCGGGCAAAGTAGGCTCTCCGCTGGCATCCAGCCCATCTCGGTTTGGTGCCCTATTCGCCAAACAACGCCAGCGGAAGGAGGAAGAAGCTCAAGCCGCTCTCGCCCAGAACGGACATGTCGGCTCTCCTCTACGCGAATCAGTCATTGGGCCTCGCTCCTCTGCCAGCGCCATCCGGCCCATCGGAAGCCTGCCCGGATCTGGTGACATCTCTCCCTTCGTTGCCAGCCCTCGTCAGTCTTCCATGTCCATGATTTCCGAACAGTTAAGCAGCACATCGCTTCACCCTAGCTCCGCCCGAGCTCCGACCAGCAACCCCCGTCTGGACCGTAATATATCGTCACCCGTGAGCACGAGCCGGATTGACGAGGAGCAGAGTGACTTGGTCTTCTCAATGGAAGAGGAGGAAAGCAATAAGCGAACAAGCGCGATTTGGGGCGCAAACAAGGAAACCCCTCCTCCTACAGAGGGAGAAAAGAATGCAAATGCAAAGGCGTCTACGGCCGGTCAGGATAAAAAGGATGGGAACGGAAAATCTTACCTAAAAATGGAGTCTTTGTATGGAAATCGATCTTGATGATATCCATGGCGGTGGTGTTTTTTTATTTATCTCTTTGATACGAATCTTTGGCAATTGCTTGGTGACCTGCTTGGTTTTTGATCTGCTTATCATTCACTGGATGTTTATCATGTGCTAACGCTCTTTTGGCCCCATATTCCTTCCCCTTGATACTCTCTCTGCTTTTCTATTACATTTCCTTTGGATCTTTCCCTTTTTTTCCCCTTTCAATACACCGGTTTGGAGAATCCAATGGTCGTTTATTCTGTTTAACTCTCCATCTCTGCTGCTCATATTTCTCATTTTACATATCCCGGCGCCCATCGAAAATTCTGTTACTCTTTGCATAACATACATAACCTGTAAATATATGTCCAGATACATACGCCGACTCCTGCATGCATAACATAACAGCAGATACACCGCTAATGATCAGTCCATTTCATGCATTCTTGAGCATCCCCGTAACCAAAAGAGAACTTCGTATCTATCCGTGATCAGCTTCTCGCTTTCTCCAAGAAACAAATCACCGAATCATCCGCCATCAGCCTCTCGCTGTAGATATTGAACCCGCACTTCTCCAACAGCCGAATACTGGGAATGTTTGCCTTGTTCACATTCGCATACACCTTTTCGGGCTTCTCTTCACCTTCACACGCCGGCCGTCGAGGTATCGCCCACCAGACCTCCAGAAACGCCTTCAGGGCTTCCGTGCCGTACCCTTTGCCCCAGAGGTCGGCGTCGATAGAGTACCCCAGGTTCGGGACGGGCAGCACCTGGTTCATCCCGATGCCTCCAATGATCCTGCCTGGCTTGATTGCGCCCTCTTCCGTTTCTTCTCGCAGTGTTATAGCAAAGTAGAAGAAGAGTTCTCCTGAGTCTGGGATTTGGAGTCTCTTAGAGTCCATCCATCCTTTTTGAGCTGACACATCAGGAATACCGTGTACGAGATACTTCAGCATAGGATGCAAGGCAGGAATGTTTCTGGTTACCGAGTGTTAGCCACTGCTATATAATGGGTGAATGGGGGTATCTTACTTCCAGGCATCAAGCAGCTTTGCGTTCAGTGCGACCAACGGTGCAGCATGGTCGTATGTCATGGGAACCAACACCATGCGCGGAGTGACTATCTCCTTTGCTTCGTACGGAAGAATAAGCCGACAGGGTTGAGGCGGTGCCCCTGCTGATGGGTATTTGAGCTTCTCCTCTTCCTCGGTTGCACGCTGTGGCTGTACGCTGGCCATGACTGTAGTATTTCAAGAAAGAGAGGTGTTGAAGAGAGACGGGCTTGATTCAACTGGCATTCCAGGGAGTCCACGACGCCTTTATATAGGCCATAGATAGCCTAGTCAAATACGATGCTGCCTGCGGGATACCCATTATCAGACTTGCTAGTCGAAATACGAGGTCATGTCCTGGAAAGAGTCAGAATGACTAGCTGGCGCATGTCCAAGGGCGAGAAGGATGGCAATGTCGACAGGGGCAGAGGGAGTTTCGAGGTCAGATATCGGAATAAACTTCGGAATTAACGGAATGAACGGTCACCGATATCGATTTGGACGGCGACGACGTGAGAGTAAATGTCATGAATTATATATGGTAGTTTGTTGACAGTTGGCTGGTCTAACAGAGGGTACACGGTTGGGTTTTTTGTTTAATGGAAAGCCTCAGAGGAAGAAGAGATATAAAGTACAGGAAAGAACATGCTTGACCAAAGAAAATGCCCCAACGGCAACGGCATGCAAGCTGTAGAGCAGAGCAGAAGAAAATAAAAAGAAGCGGCAGAAGACGTAAAAAAAGGGCTAACAATCCATATGCTTTTTCCTGAGGCGTGGTTTTTTATGTCAAGATTCCAGTTTCATTATTACCAAATTTTCTGAAAGAGCACGAAGAAAATTAAATGGCGTA